AGTCGCCTATTAGTGTGCCGCCGAAATGTAAATAATACAATATTATCACGGTAATTTTATAATGCGGTATTAAATGTCGGACATGCTGATGGTCGGTATGGGATCTTCGGGCGTGGGCGTAGAATACCTTGTACTATTATTATGTAGCGCCGACCGTTTATCATCTAACGTGATCAGACCCGTCGATTTTCTCAAATAACCCAACGCAGTTAGCCTAAAGGTTGGTTGGTCGACACGCAATCAGACGAGTTGACGGCTTCGCTTGGAACGCTAATTATAAGCAAAAAATGAAAGGCGCCAAGAGATAAAAGTAAACCATCATCGTGGCGCATACTGTTGTTGTCTGAGCTATTCATCACTAGTCGAGTACAGATTATGTGAATCACACAGAGCCGGCTGGAAAACTAATAAATATAATATAAAGAACGTGCACATACCACATGACAATAAGATCCCACCAGCGAAGTTCATGCTAACATTTAGAATTGGTAAAATAATTGAGAACGGTATTTCGTGGTTTGACATATCGTTAACATTGTTTAATGAAATTAAAATATAATCGTTGACACTTGTCTGTAAAATATGTTTTTATATAATTTTTAAAGTAATAGGAAAATTATACGACACGAGCCCATCCTCGTTCTGGTGGCTTTAAAGGGACACATTTCGTCACTTAGGCTGAATATCTTTCAGCTGGTCCGGATATCTCTAATCGTAAGACAGCTGGTGTTGACGGATGTAAAGCGTGATTGAAAACTATGAGTGAAAAGATAAGCAATTTAAGAATGGCTTTGGTATTAGAGGAGGTGTACAAATAGTAACAAAAGTAATAGTTGAAAATGACTGATTAGTCATATTAGACAATATTGGGAAACCGCTAAATTTGCAATGGGCTAGAGAATAAAGCCGGTTAACACCGTTTAGTCTCCAATACCAATCGATAATAATTTATCAGTAATTAACACCATGACAGGTAATAACCCTGACAAATAACACTGTTAGTAAATAAACTTTTAGAATATAATTTATTTAACCAGACCGACCTGGACAACAATACGCATAACGGCCTGTCATGGTGAGCATTGTATGGACATCACATGGGCTGCAGGCGTGTATAAGTAATCAAAGTATTGATCGCGCATTACAAGTAAATCTTTTTCTTTCTATCAAAAATCATTTTTTTAAACTATACCTGTGCAGTATATGCCTATGATAAATATTATGCCTAATACGTTCACACACATTAATCGATTATGATCGGTCGGAGAGTGTATACATTTACTTATTATTATTTTGTTTGTACATTGTAGTAAAAAAAAAACCATTATATATTTCATACATTGTATTATTATGTATATTATATTATATTATATTATAATTCCTTTGTATATATTGGATATAATTTTATTGACGGCTGCTTCCTACTGCTGCATTTGTGTTTGACATAATGTGAAGTGTCCCAAGATTCACATCAAATAAGACATATGCATAAATTAGAATATTTTTAATAAATATTCTCTCTTTACCGCAAAGCTTATTTTATGATGACCAGTTAACATAATGATATATAATTTAACGTGAGACACATATTTTTTTTTTGAAAACATTTTTATTTATGCTATTGTATAATGTTATAAAATTAATACTATGAAAGTTATTAAAGCTTAAAGTTTAGGACAGAAGGACTTTGGGGTAAAGTGTTATTTTTATGCGGATGTGTTATCACATCTGATTGCTAAATATATCTACAATAATTAGACGATGGCTATTTAAATAATAACATTAATATTAATAGTTGTGAGTTGACCTATTTATTTTTCAATAGTCTGGGTTCATCTAGGTTGACTAGAGAAGTTCAAAATTTCTTTACCACAATATATTGATTCGCCAAAGACAATCTGTACGTAATTATTAGATTTCAAACTTGAATAAAAACAAAATTTTTTTTTAATTTTCTAAGACGATCACTTACAAAAGAGTTCTGAAAAATGAATAACTCCTAGTTACCAGTTGAGACGGTGTAATAATAATTTTTGTATAATAGATAGCTGGAAAATAAATAACTTAACATTTTACACAAACACTTTTGTATTTACAAACCAGCAGCAATAAAGTTACCGTACCAATACATGCGGGTACATATAATTAATAGATTTGCTTTTAGTCACCCATTGTTTCTTAACGCGCCTCTCAGTCCAATGTATGTACTAAACGGTGAAAGTGTTTAGTGAAATGTAGAAAAACCCTTATCGGTGGACTAGAAATTCCAAAAGTTCGTTTCTTGTTTTATTTCTTTTTGCATACTGAAGTTTCGGGGCCAGATTCCACGTCAAAAATGTATTAATAGTTATGTTTTTTTTATTGTTTTTTTGCAAAATAAAATAAAAAAGTCATTGTAAATGTTACAGAAACCAAAGAATCATCTGGCACTGATGCTCGTAAAGATTACTGTCCAATCGACGGACGGTATTCGTTCCGTTACGCTCTCAATGACGGTAGTGGAGGAGCGACTACAGAGTGTTCATCGCCCACATCCCTCGCTGATAACTGTCCCAGAGGACACCAACTTAACTTGCGGTTCAGCGGTTGTTCTTTCGAGGATCGAGGTAAGTTTATTTTACGATTATAGTTCAAAGGGTGTATGCTAGATAGTATCATTAAATTGAATATTATACAATTAGGTGAATACACTAACACTGCTATTAAAAGTTTTACCCATAGACATCTTATTCTTATTAAATGGACCGCGTATGGAAACCAAATTACGTCACACACAGTAATGCCTAGTGCCTTGTACTAAGATATGTGCTAGGGTGATATACCAAAGTGGGCATGTTTTTTTAAACTTTCCAGTTTGCTCAAACTAGCTCTGTCTCTCTCCCATATCATATGCAGTGTATTATGTTATCAAGTCTAAGGACCTACCTATTTCCTGCAGTACCAATAACCCTATCGCAATAAAGCAATTGGGTCAATTGAACTATTCACCGCCCAACTTGCTAGCCCGTCTTTACTAACAAGACAAAAGCTCTTCTATCAATATATTATGCTTTATATCACTCCGTTATGTTACAACATTACGAACGAATGTTTTATATGGGTCTAGTGTAATCTAGTATGATGAATATTATGGAAATTAATATCTCATCTTTGTTCTTGTAGTGTTCGCGTACGAATGTCTCGCCAACTGGGAAGGACCCGGCAAACAACGTTACCTCGCGCTGTATGATACTCGGCTAGGTGGCGAACGCAGGCCTCTATACCGCTGTGCCGTGAGTACAATTAAAAATAATACACATACATAGTATAAAACATTATTACCTTTCCTTAATAAAAGATCATCTGATAAATCTTAACGCTTCGAACCTTGTTATATTGCAGTTGTACGAAGAAGTATCACCCGGCGTCATACACATGGCTCTGTCCAGTGACTCCACGTGCAGCACCGACTTGAAGAATGCGTCCTCGGGATTCGAAAGTTTCGTGCTTACCGCCAGACCGTCCCCGCCACTACCTCCACAAGTTCACATGAGTAGTTGCAAGTGAGTTTCGTAGGTATTGTAGAGAAATGCACAACTGTACTGTTCTTGTTGACTCTGCAAATTATACAATATGGTGCATAACAAATTCATCAAAACCATTAAATTAAGTCGATGTCCTTCGGGAACAACTAGCAGACATTTTTAAGGAAAGAGACCAAAGTTATTCTTTAGTTTTGGTTATAACTGTAGTTTAATGTGTAACTTAAATCGACGCTGACTAAAATATTTATAACAGAAGCCTTTATTGTCTTATGATTTACAACACAGTATTGTTGCTTCATAACTTATGAACCAATAATATTACTTAGGACTTAGAATCATAAACCACTTTGTTGCGTTGCAGATTCCCGGACTGGGCGCAAGGATCTTGGCAAAACCTTCATGTCAATGGTAACACTATGGTATACCGAGACACGGACATGTTTTGGACGTTAACGTGGAGGTGCATTGACACAACGATGGATAATCGGGCTACAGACAAATTCCTCGTCCACGGACGAACTCAGTGGTTAGTGAATGAGCAGTTAGTCTGGTGTTATTGTGCCACGATGGTTGATTATATTTATAGCTTTTATATCTTTAAATAGTATAATAATAATCTATGTTTTTTTTTGTTTAGTGGTGAAGAAGTACATAGCTGTCTATTGTTGAAAAGACGAGGACCAAACGTATTAGAATTCATTACTGGTAATTAAAATACTATGCACACTGTATAGTAATTGCTATTGTTATTAACAGCTAATTTTTTATTTTTAGGACAACACCTGAGCGAAAACTTCAATGCATCCTTGTGCGCCGACTCAAACTTCTTAAGCATGAATTGGATAACTCAAGGACGTGAGTCTTGTTTTTTACCAATTATATTTTATAAATATTTGTCTTCCAAAAACGGTGAATACTGAAGTTTCCTTGTGTTACACTAGTGTTGGTGATAATAACCAGTTTCGTAACAAATAACAAAGTTGAGTATAGAAAGCATTTCTATAGCTTACCTTTGCACTTTCGTTTGCCATCCAATATATATATTTTTATACTTATAACTTTTAAAAATATAAATTATAAAATTCTATAGTATTGAAAGATTCAAACATATTTTTTAAATCACAACTTACACTATATAGTCGCGGATACTGGGAATGTTAAACAAAATCTAGCAACTTTTTTCTCAAAAAAAAAAAACAGTGTCTCGCGAATACAATGATACTTTTAATATACTTATTATTAACTATGTGTAATGATGATAGGAACGGATGGTGCACAAGTATCCCCATGTCCGATCATGGGTGACTACACTGGAATGTTGCCTGATGGCGAAGGACTTTGCGCTGAACTAGCATCTGACTGTGACGCCCTCGAAACCATGCACTACACGGTTTCAGAGTGTTCCACCTCAGAAATATATGAAGGTAAGGTTGATATTTAAAGAAACACACAGCTCTGTAGTTTAAACCAATAACTCTTATAATATTATGTTCTAACATATTGTATCATTAGCTGCGATTATAATTTTGTTTTAAAAAGCGTAGCTCATAGTTGTAACTTTTTTAATATTATAATTTGGAAGTGCTACGACTAACGCTTAGCAGTTGTCTGCGCATATCTGTTTTCCAAGTACTGTTGGAAAATGCCCGAATTTTTCAGGATTTCGTCGATCTAACGTGCGTAGGATTAGGGACGCGTCGTCGTTGACCAAGTCCTTGGGCACGTCGTCGTCACAACCGGCCAAACCAAATCCGACCGTCCCATGGACGATGAGCGAGAGCACTAGCTCATGGCCTTCCACTACCCCTACAGTGTACTCGACCACGCAGACTCCCTCGTTCGCGTCTTCAGAAACCCCAAAAAATACCTCGCCTTCGTTGCCAGAAATGACTAAACCATCGACGACCACGACAACCCGTCAACAAACTTTAAGGTCCTCAACAGAACCTTCTTCGACGGCTACCACGAGCACTCCTACCCAGTCATCGAGTCAAACCATCGACTACTCAACAAGTCCATCATCTCGTGCTACCACTATAAGTACTTCGATCTCTGGACCGACGACCGTCGTAGAAAATACTAGCCAGCAGGTGCTCAAAGCTCAAAGCACGTCGCCTTCTTCTCCGTCGCCTGCGTCTTCTACGCAACAAAGCCGTTCTGATTATTCTACAGGTAACGAGTTCGGACGTTCTCCGTCTAGCTCTCGGTTCAGTCAACCAACAACCGATTACAACTTATCCAGAAGTACTCCCCAAGGACAAATCAATGGATTTAACAACTTCTCCAACGGTTACACTCAGTCAAGTGGCATCCCTATTGACTATCAACGATCGGGTTCACGCCAGATGTCTGGCTTCAACAATTCCACTCCCAGCGGCCAAATGCAACCGGCCATTCACCCGAACGGTGTCCCTCAGACAATGGACTACTCAAATCGCCCTTCGTCCACGGACTTTCAGCAACGCCAAAGTACTAACCCTGGAGGTTACCAATCGTCCGGTCAATATCCCCTGCAACAGAACACTGGATTCCGTTCGGATCCCTCGCACAACTACCAGCCATCCACACAGTCTCGACCCACGTATCAGCAAATTGGTCCCGACTACTCTGGTCAGTCTCCACCACACTATTACGACCAACAGTATCACCATCAACCACCGTATCACGGGCGAGCCGGTAACTCTCCAGACTACTATTCCGGAGGAGGATCTCAGCACCCACAAACGTATACCAATTCAAACAATCATAATTATCAAACGAGATATCAGACTCCAGCTGACGATCGTTACCACCCTTACGGGACTAACAGTTATCAACATAGCAGTTACATGCCGGATGGACAGACCATAGGCCGCAGGACGGACACGCATGGTAACCCACCTCCACCACCAGCGGTTTATCAAGGACAGCAACCCGTCGATCCCAGAACCACTTATAACATCCAGGGAGGAGGGGGATATTCGCCTTTTGGCTATGTTACCCCTCAGATGGGCCAGAGATACCACAACCAGAGCGCATCTACCAACAATTATTATCAGAGAGATAATTGGAATGGTGGAGGTCAAACGTTCGTCGGCGATCCAATGAACGTCAACGGTTATCACAAGGCCGCCACGACCACATTAGGAGAAAAGAAGACGCCCATAGCTTTGCCACCCATTCAGTTGCCGTCGCAGACGTTTGCTATCAGAATGCCCCAGGCCTCGTCCAGGGTGGGAAATGCAGGAGTTTTCCAACCTAAACGTCACCGCGAAGGTATATCATGACTGCAGAGCAACCGAGTCTTTTTCAGTATCACGGAAACAACTAGTGGAATGTGTGTTAAGCGTTAAATCACACTTACACGTTGCCAACAGAATGTTAAATGTCTCACGCGGTATTAGATCGAAACATCACGGTGGTATCGGCCAACAATGATTGCACGCTCACACCATGTACTCGGTAATACCTACCCATCCACTATGCACATAGCCGTATTGTCGTTAGTCAGAAACAACTTACGATTACAAAAAAATATTATTAGTGTCGAACTATTCACCGCTACTTATATCAATGTGTATTTACATTACCATATTGTACAAGCACCGCGATTGGCATGATTTTCCTATGTTTGTTTAATGAATATAATTATTACACGTTTATACTTATTATTATGTCGTACACACTTATACATTATGTACACTCTAAAACCGCAACCTATTGTACAAATTTTAAAGTTTGTTTTATCTTACAGAACGAGATTACCAGTGTCTGGGTCAGTGGGAAGAAAATGGCCTGACCTACACGTACGCCCGCCGCAAGGACGCCAATACTTACGAATGTTTTGTCGGTTCTATTGTGACCGAAGGCGAATTGCTGTTGACGGAAGCCGGACGACACTGTACCCGCAACGTGGATCCGTACAAAACTGGGATGAAACTAATCAAAAAAGGTATCAGCTTCAAGCTCGTCCATAGCTTATACTGCACCTAGTGGTTGGAAATATCGAGTCATTTGAATTAACCAACAAATTAAGTGTATTTTCGTTCGTTTAAAACTCCGTGTAAATTATATAAAATAAACTAAGAGCTAAAACGATTCTTGGATTAATTTTAAATGTCATTAAAACATCTAAAGTATTGAATATTTTCGTCCAAATAAATGTTGACCATTTTTTTCTTGTGTATATTCGAAAAAGCAACTGATAGAAGTTATAAGCTTTTTAGCTTTTTAAAAAAAAATAATTCGATAATAATCTTTATTACCCTCTTGTCACGCTCTAATATTGTTTGTAATTTTTTTCAATTAGGAGTTTGCGACACAGCCAAAAAAACCGGAAGTGGTTCAACTAGTTTCGTGCCGGTGGCTTCCACTCAAGGATCTTTATTTCCCGTCCAATCGTCAACGCCACGCAGTAGTTATACGGCCATCCCAAAACGTTTGCCCTCGTCCACCATGAAACCCTGGAAACCCATCACCGGTAAGTCTCGTCTTGTATATTTTCATAAATAAACCCAAACCGCCGTAAAAACAATACCGGACGATACAATAAGACATTATGTGGATAATTCTCGGATGTATTCAGTTTTATACTGACGTTTCTAACTCATTGCAGAGTCCATCTTCGGAGCGATTAGTCACTGTTCGGCTGTCGTATCTATACTGAATGGCTCACTTGTTTCCTACTGCTATTTATACGACCAATGTCTTACCACCGTACAATGTTGTCATGTGTCAAGTGACTTTCTTTGAATGTGTGCTTTTTTGGCATTCTTTACATATTGCTCTTTCTTTTCTGCAACTGAAATTTTCATTTATTTCAACAATAGCTGCTTCTATTGTGTGGCATTGTCAGGTGGGTTTAATTTAGTTCTTTCTTTGTTCCTATTTAATGATTGGTTTCCGTGTATTGATAATTGTCCAACCATCTTCTCTGTTGAAATTTTGTGAGCGTTTTTCAATTTCTATTGCGTTTTTGAACGTCCTTTTTCCTAAGTTCAGTCGTTTGTTTGGTATTTTCACCTTGTGGACTGGATAAAATTTGGGTGGCTGACGTCTGACTAGAACCTAATTGTTGCGAACGATGTGAAAAATTCAAATTAATATTGGTATAGCTCAATATAAAAAAAGACAACATTCAACTAGTTAAACACTCGTGAAATAATTATTGAATCGAATCATATTATCTGATACGTTAGTCTTATTCTGCCGCCTTAACCGCGTTTCCTATAATAATGCACTTTATATAAACATAATTTTGTATTTTTACTTTTAGCTCAGGGAATGCCGCCTTTGAAGAACCGTAACACATCGCCACCCAACGGCACCTCGACGATTACTTTGAACTTAATGATGGCCATCATAGCAGTATTAGTGACTTACACTCTAAATCAATGATGTGACCATCGAGTGTCTATTTCTCATTACTGTAGTGAACGTTTGGCTTACACGTACTTTACCAATTTTTTTTTATCTGTTTTAAATAATTTTACATGATATATATTTTATAGTATATACTTTATTGTTTATGTATGTTTTTTTTTTTTGTAAATAACATCAATATTATTATTATTTTTACTCTTTGCGTTTATGGAAAAAGTGAGAGGGGTTGAAAGAGAAATAGACGCGTGAGAGCTAGGAGCTCTTAATAGTACCCAATTGAGTTAACTGTGGAAAAAACAATTTCAACAAGCGACTTAATATTATTATGATCAATAATAATGCATAGACACTGTAATATTGTAACAATTAACTACTTACTTATACATCAATCGTTTGCTAATAAAGATAATAATATTATATTAAATAACAACTATGATACCTACGTTAATGTGTAATACTGCAGTCATACGCGATTACCAAATTTGTATTTTTGTTTTGTGCGCGTTAATGTTCCTTTTTTGATTAAATTAATCAATTGTGCTGAAAGGCCTATTGTAAAATATAATTATCATATTATTTATTTAATGAATAAACTGCACAAACGGTTTAATAACAATATTATTTTTGTAGATTTTAATAGACAAAATAAAATTATAGTCATAAGATGTTATGAACAAATGGAAATAACTCTGCAAAATAATAGTAGTTTTTTAATAGGTATCTAATATTATTATTGTTTTAAATATAGGCTCAATATTTGTAATACATTTTATCTACCTATACATAACTATTACTTATCTACTTGTATGAGAACACATTTTACACCGTACACTGTATGCCGTATTATTATTATATATTATACTGCCTAATGAAGGAATATGTATGTCTAGTATTGTGTCTACATTAAAATAACTTCGAATTTTACACGGATTTACGTTATTATTAAATATTATGAAACAAAATTATTAATTATTATTGTCTACGACTACATTTTTTATCTAAAATTAAAAAAAATGTAATGTTGTATATTTATTGTCCTCGTTTTAACTATATACCCTATGATTTTGATGTGTCTTTAAATTAAGTTATTAGGTCAACTTATTCAGGATGGTGCGGTCGCTACCAAATGTGAAATCGGCCAAAATGAGAGGTTGTCATGAAATAGGGTTCCCAACTTTCAAATTGTGTAATGTAGGACAATATTTTTCATATCCAAGCCGGCAGCGGGGCCCCATGGTCCCCTGCCAAATGAGGGCCTCACCCAAAAAGTAAATACTTATTTTAAGTTGATAAAAAAATGAAATTTATTAATATAAATTATCATAACAAAAAACAATATTAATTATGAAATGCATACTGAAACTAATGAGAACAAACAAAATAAAAAATAATATACATGACTCTTGAGTCTTGGACATTGATTTAATAATATACTATAAATAAATAAAGTATATTATGTTAAAATATGATATGTTAAGTATATAATGGTAATATAAATTATCATAACAAACAACAATATTAATTATGAAATGCATACTGCAACTAATAAGAACAAACAAAATAAAAAATAATATACATGACTCTTGAGTCTTGGACCAAGACTCAAGAGTTATGTCTAAGACCGTGGTATATACAAGCATAGATGATAAAATATTTTTGAATTGTCAATGACCTTTGTATACATAATACAAGACGTGATTAACCTAAATCAAAGATACAATTAAAAATAATTTATAATAATAATGAAATATAAAAAATGTTTTTTAATTTTTCATAGACTAAACTATATTATTGGGTACATTTATTGAAAAGTAGGATAGTCCTACAAAAAATTTAAAGCGTTGTTGGACGTAAGACAAATCATACAAATGTAGGACTGTCCTGGCCAATGTAGGACGGTTGGCAACCCTATCATGAAAATTTTTTTATTTAATTTTATATAATTTTGACGGTGACTGAACTTAACTTTTAGAATACATTTCTTTACAATCTACACGACAAGTTGTAGTCTGCTCACTTAATAAGTGGTATATAATAATTAATACACCTCTCATTTCAGCGCCGGCCGCTTTATTTTCTTACATTTTTAGTATTATGTACAGTGTTTTCAGCTAGTTAGGTAATTTCAATAATATTTTAAAAGTCCTGTTACGGACGCTGTCCTTCACCACACACACACACACACAATATATATATATATCTATATTATATACACGTAGACCACCATATGCCATGATAAAGAGTAATGATACTATTATAATTTAACATAATAGTATCATAGTTTTATATATGCAAATATATTTGTATAAAACTAAAAAATGCAACGATAATTTGACACTGGCAGTACGATACAATCTGCGTTCGCCACAATCTAAAAAGTAACATTTCGAAAGGGCAATCGCACGTCCGTTTACACTTCACACACATGATGCCACTAAGTTATCTTTTGTATGTTATATAATATAAAATTTTAATAATAATAATTATAATTAAACACCCTGAAGGTAAGAGTGCAACATACCTACATAAAACATTATGAACGGTATCATAAAAAAAGAAAAGAACACAGTTTTTACATTGAACATTACTAAACAAAATGTAAAAAGTTGACATTAATTAAATTCAATTTTTAAGTAAAAATAGACCTAAATCAATTATGGGTGGGAGCTTATTTTAAATTAAGGAGGGAGTCATGGAAGATATCAAAAGGGATCAAGAGGGAGGCAAGTTATTACTGGAAATACAAATACGCTTAATATGAGTGAAAAAAGTGTAATTTTGGCTGTGGACACTTATACGAAAATTTGGAAGTAATATATATATCATTGACAAGTCTATACTTTGTATTTAACGATGAATTAAGTTCAACATAAGTAAGAAAACAATTATTATTTGTCCAGGTCCGAGTAAAACGCATTCTGCATAGTCAGGTTTTTAGGCAAGAAAATTGGGAGTAGGTATAACCACAGAAATCAGAATAAACAGATGGGAATTTTAGAGTTAATTAAAAAAACACTCAGACATATTGAGATTTAGCCAGTAATGCCAGAACTCAGATATTTTCTTTTTTTTTTTTAATTTTTCTGTGACTCATGGCTACATTGTTCAACAATGTCGTCGCCATTTTCCACGCTTGTCGAGTGAACAGTTTAGCCGGAAAGAACGAAAAATGAGCATTTCCCTAAATCTACCAGCACTGTACATATCTCGATCAGTTTCAAAATATCGGACATGATCTCGTCCCATAAGAACCCATGTAAAAATTGTATAGTTTCTTTTCTGTTTATTCTGTAGTATAACATAAATAAATAATAACGTTTCAATTGAATTTTGATAATGATACGGCTATTACTTATTTTATGTAACGGTCAAACTGATTTTACTCACTCGTAGTTCTATCTCTGTTTTACTCAATTATAGTCAGACGTTCTCTCTCTCTACGTGCACTCCCCATTCCAGTTCATGATTTAATTATCACAGAAATTGTTGATCTGTACATCTGTATATCTGCTGCGGATTATATGGTCTATGAATTTTTATGTATGTAAACAGCGTTTGAGGCCGACTGCAGATGCCATATACTATTAATAATTCATCTATAATATTAATTATGCTGTGGTGCATAAAGAATTAATACATTTAATGTTTCATTAAAATTGAATGGACCAATCACCGGCCACATAAACATCAGCTACTGAATTCTACAATGGAGGTGTAATCACAAAATAGATAAATGGTGTACATATCGGCCGGCGAGTGTAATTGTTAAGCGTTATCACATAATTTTCTTGATTGAGTACTTTGTTGTTGTCATAATAATACGTTTATATTTTTCTACTTTTCTATGAGTATGTAGTCGCAAATAAAATAAAAATATACAAATTTCAACTTGTAAATTAGCCTCAAGAGCTGTACTTTTGTCGTCAGATTTGTTTCACACGGCGTCAACACAATCATGAACAACGATAAGTATCTGAAGATGTATACAAAATTTAAGAAAAGCTACAAAAATCCGTCTGAAATGAAGTGCGAAATAATATACGCTCTCCGTGAGTGCCGAGACAGATATTTATTGCACAGTAGTGTAATGTGAGTACATTCTTAAAAACATACAAGTAAACCTTTACAATAATGCTACGGAAAAAACTTTAACAAGAATAAACAATTTTCAAATGAAATAATTACGCAGTCGACTAAAAATGAAAATTGTAATTTATTTCTCTTTTTTATAAGTAATTAAAGAAATATACATTAAACCTGTTTAAACAAATTTTATTTAAAAAAGTTTATTTTTAAAACAACTTTTTACTTATTCATTTTTTTAATTTTAAACAACTATAAATGTAAAGAATAGTGTTTTTAATTGTACCAAGTGACTATTTAAACTGACATTGGTTGCTTAACGAGTTTGCTCTGAAATCACTTATCCAATAGAAATGAGGGTTTTTTTAAACTTGTATAGTATACAATGTAGCAGGTTTTAAACAAAGTTGAAAATCATATAACGTAAAAAAAAAAACAGCTCAGATAGTAGTTAAACTCTGACGTCCCACGTGACGAAGATGTGCATTTTCGCTCTTTTTAAACTGTAAACTCATCTTGCCGGTGTTATCACGTTTGTGCGTGGTATTATTACCAACAATTTTTTTTATTACCTATTTATTAAACCAAGCAAAAGCATATAATATAAAAAATATTGCACTAAAACATCAAATGATGAATTCAATAAACCTTAAGTAAATGTAAAATACATTTAAATTAACCATTTCACTAAGCTAAATATTGAGCCATTTAATCGTTTTTTCGACATTAAACTTTTTGTTTTGTATAGACTAGAATTAATAACTAGATTAATTATAAATTTTCAATTCACTTATATTTTTTAAGAGCTGAAGTATTTGTTGTCTTCAATTTTTTCAAAAAATGTATATTATTGTAATTTACAAAATATATTTTCCCCGTTTAAGTATATTGTCTATATTTAACATTATAAGTATTATAAGCTACTTAGGTATAATTAGGTATCGTATTAATATTAATACTTAGAATACTAAAGTAAACATTACATTATTTACAGGTTATCTGAAATGTTATTAGCTCTCCAAACTGTTCCACCGTATTTTACTGACGATGACACGGGACTCGTTGTCGATACAATAACGTACCATGATATCGATCAGTTTGATAATATGGAAGAATATATTATATTTCGAAAAGCCTGTTCTTACTATGAAGCTGAAGAATATCTAGCGTAATTATTTTACTATAGTTTATAATAAAAAAATTATTTTTGTGTTAATCATATTTGATTAATGAGCGATATTTACTATTTTAGATGTGCTCATATAACTGAAAAAATGAAAAACCCCGAAGCCATGTTCTTACACTATATGTCAAGATATTTACATGCATACAATCGTTTGATATACGAACGTACTAGTTTATTTGAGGATCCCAAACCTTTGGAACTACAAACTTCTTACAAGTTGCTGCTAGAAGAACTTTTAATTTTAACAGTTCATGGTCGTGAAGAAGATATCGTAAAATCTGATAATGATGACAATTTTGAAAAAAAATTAGATGATATCATACCAAAGTTGGCTTCATTAGATAGCGTTGGCCGCCGTAAATGTACAAAAAAAGTCAGTGAAACACCAGCAAATAAAAAACCATTGACTAGAACTACTGGAAAAGTGTGTAAGGACCCGTACTTGTTTTGGCTTACTGCGGTAATATTGAAAAAGTTAGATCGAAACATCGAAGCTAAAAAACTACTAATCAAAGCATTAGAGATACAACCTTGCCATTGGGCTGCTTGGCTTGAGCTTTCCACTCTTATTAAAGACGTAACAGTGGTAAACTGCTTTTACATTATCTTACCAATTATTTAAGAATTACAATTATTTAGTTTTACATACCTGCTGTTTTGCTATAGTTTGAAGAATTAGAACTAAAAAATCACCCTCGTCATTGGATGCAATTTATTTGTATGGCACAAGTGTACTTGGATTTTCAGATGACTGACAAAGCCATACGATTGTATAATGACATTTTACAACATGGCCATGAAGCATTTCAAAAATGGACGTATTTACGTGGCCAGCTAGCTGTTGCTTACCATAACAAAAGAGGTTAGTTGTGAGAATTTTTTTTTTGGTATAGAAACTTAATAGTCATGATTTTAACCAAAAATGGTTATTAACTTAAATCGAATAAAAATATTTGTTTTCATTATGTATTAATCTAGATATATCCAAATCCGTGAAAGAGTATATAAAAGTACTTCATATGGATCCTTTCAAATTAGATAATTTAGAATTATTGTCTAATTTAATGTATGTGTGTGATCTTCACGATCAACTCGTTATGTTGTGTTTACATGCAACTCATATTGACCGTTATCGCCAAGAAACGCTGTGCATTCTCGGTAAGAGTTTTATTAAACTTTATTTTTTTGAATTTTATTCTATTGAAATTATATATACCTAGTAAAACAATTTTTTTTTTTTGGTTTTAGGAAACAAATATAGTTTGAAATGTGACCATGGCAAAGCAGTTTTCTATTTTAAAAGAGCTCTAAGACTGAATCCATCAAATGTAACTGCTTGGACCCTATTAGGACATGAATATATTGAGATGAAAAATTCTTATGCTGCTATAGCGTCTTATCGTCAAGCGTTGAGTATGTAAATTAAAAAAATTACTTAATTTTAAAACCACTTAACCATACTTTAAAGTAAAGTCTTAAGTAAAGTACACTTTACACAAATATCGCTACTTTTATATTTTTTATAATTTATTTAATGCCATTAGTTGTTTATAATATTAAAACATGATTATTTGATTTTCATAAGAGTATATAATATATTATTGTGTTTTTAGAAATTAATGTAAGAGACTACAGAGCTTGGTATGGATTGGGACAAATTTATGAACTTGTGAAGTTGCCTCATTATGCGATGTACTATTTTAAGAGAGCCAATAAACTGAGACCTCATGATCCTCTTATGCACATTGCTCTGGGCGAAATTTACGAACGCAGCGATCAAATATACGAGGCTTTGATATGTTTTTATCGAGCACTCCTCTATGACCCAGAAGGAGCAGTGCTGCTTAAACTATCAAGGTGTGAATTAACATCTAGCATACATTTAATGTCTAAATACTCATTCCAATTTATTTATTTTTCAGATTATACGAAAGATACAACGATAGTAGTGTCAATTACATTATTCGGGATAATTTTATTATCATCAATAAAAACGCTTTCAAAGTTGCATGTAGAGTGAAAAAAGAAGTCACTAACAAGTTTGTAGAATTAGCTTTAGGGAAAATATACTTATACTTGGGATATTTTTACTTGGAACAACATAATTATGAACGAGCTGCGAGTATGATTGAGAGACACGAAACTCGCAATCCAGAACACAAACATCATAACTGTGAGGTAAAGTAACAATAATTGAATAAATTACTAAAAAAATGTATATTTCTATAATTTACTTTTCCATTCTGAAAGGGTTGAAACTTTTTATTGCTATTGTTGAGGTGAAGTATTACACTTGAATTGGACTAGTTTAATTTTTTTTTTTTTAAATCTCCAATACATTTTCATGTTATTGGAAAAAGCCAGTTTAAATTTAAATGTATTCAATTATGAATGACCAACCAAAGCACAGACATATTCTACTGCCACTCATCAAATTCACGCATGAAAGAATGTCACTTGCCTTCTTTATCCGCAGAGGCTCCACCCTCATCGTTCTTTGCTTTCATGTAGAGAGCTCCAAGTAAAAAACCCGTTATAAATATAACGAAGCCACTGAGTTCCATCTTATATGCAGTCAATATAAAATAATTATTATTTGCAAGTTACTTTATAAAGATTTTTGTGCAAAATAACTTAATAATTATTAATTAAGCTGAATATAAATTATAAGTTTAGTGTTTCATGTAACATTGCGACATGGCAACTAGATTCTAGCCAATGTTGTCCATTTATAATTAAAACATTTTTATGTTTGAACTCGCTTACGCTCTGAGTAGCGCAGTGTTGCATAACATTGTACATGAAACAATAATTTTACTTGTTCTTTATGTTTTTATTATACTGGTAATGTACAAGTAACTACATGAGTTGACATGAAGCATGAAGAGTAACCATAATTGTAAACATTTTATTTTTAGATTTTATACATTTGTTATACCTATATCTAATCTATACAATGTGGTTTTTGCGTTTGTGTCAATTTTCTAGGATAGATGCCTATAAACCATAAAGTATTTTAATTTTAATATTTTCTTTCAGCTTCAAGCTCAAATCAACACGTTGCTACGAGAACTTGAATCAAAAATGGGCCAATCAACTAGTACTTCATCAGGAGCACGCAGATTCTTGTTTGGATAGCATTAAATTACATTAACGTCAAGTGTAAATTGTATAATTTCAGTATCTGGTTGAACAGATTATTCCTATGTACAATATTAGTTATACATTAAATTCGGCTATCATGGAATACCTGATTTTAATTGAGTGCTTGAAGTTCTGAGATCTAGTCTGGTATAATAGAATAATTTAAAATAAGATATTTAAAGTTAAGTCTGTAATAGTTTGTCTTAGGAGTGGTTGTATGGAGAAGGTCCGAAACGAAAGAGGGTAAGAACAAATGATTGAGTTATAAAATATACATAAGTAATTAGTCTTGACTATAAGTGACAATGAAAGTATGTAGTTAGTAAGTTGAAATGTGACCCACAAAAGTGTTGAGCAAAATATTTGATAGAAATTTAATATATATGGTAAATAAATGTATAAGGTTGCATATCGTACTTTATAGGATAGGATACTTTATCAGGACGATGTTTGGTGACAAAGGAAGTTTGGTCGGCTTTAATAGATAGTTAGATGATATTATTTATTCAGCAAAACTTCATTGGTCTCATAGCGGTATGAATTGATTTCACATAAATTACATTTTGTATTTATTGTAAACCGTTAATTTTGTATGTATTTTTTAATATTAGACAATTTTAATTAACTATAAAGTACTGATTATTAATTATTTATTTTAAACATAAATGTGATTTACACTTTATTATTTAACAAAATTTTTAATGTACAATGTGTATATATATTTTAAATATATTATAAATATTGCTTTCTGAAATGACAAGAGAAGATGTTTATTTTATTTTATTCTAGCCTTTGAGTTTAATTAAAGCTTAAAAATCCAAAAATGAAAACTAAAAAGACAATTATCAAGTTTAGATGTCTATTAACTATGTACCACAAATCAGGAAAATTTATAATTTATACTCTTACTAAAAACTATTTTGGGGGAATAACTTGTTTTAAACAATTTTTTTTTTAGGTAGAGAAAATAATAAAATTGAAATTATTTTGCACAGAAATTTATCTAGACCATTGCAGTATATAACATCTTATCCACAATTTATCAACAAAAATAAATAAATGTAAAAAGGAAATATTTTATTGAATAGATTTTAAACCTTGTTCCTTTAATCTATTACTTAAACTAATGTATGCTTCAAGTATCGGTTTTTTTACCTAGAATAAAAATCCTTTTATTTGAAATCTTAATATTTTTTTGCAATAGATACCATATTACCTTTATGATGAAAATATGTCAGTCAAATGTCTACGCCAAAGGCCAAGTTGTAAAGATTTTACAAGACTGCTGAAAGCATTTATTTTTTTACTAATAAAAATAGTTTTGATTTTAGGGAGGCAATTTTTAAAAAAAAAATGTATGCTCCTAATGGTAAATTATACAAGATACTCATAGGATAAAAGTTCTTTTCATCATAGATCTATAATCAAGCTATAAGTATAATTACAGCTGTATTTTTCTCAACTTGGATGATTAGACAAAATGGTCATTAATTATAATTCATAACATTCTAAACATTAATTCGTATACGTTTCTAACATTAAACCGTCATCAATAGTCGTTGGCCAGCTTAACAGCTTTGGATAATATTTAACTTTCGTGTTATATAAAATCTGCTACTAAGCAAAAATATTTAATAACACTACTTTGTATCAAGTATGAATGGATAACACTGCTACGATTTGTACTTAACAGATTAATATAAATTATAATAGATAATAGTTATGTGTATTTTCAAGTATTATAATATATTTAATTCAATACAATTAATTACATGTAAACTGATTAAGTACACAAGTCGCTGACAACACAATTGAGTTTATTGCGTTTACAGTCACAAGTGCAGCTACAGTGATAATAATTCATAAAATATATCGAACGAAGCACACGACTGACAGAATTCCAATTACATTTAAGTAGTAAATGTGGGGATAACTTGCATTGCAACAAATTAATACTAGTTGTCGATTGGTGTATGTTTTCACCAAATAAAAAGCCATCCCTGAAAAAACAAATATTATTAATAGAAGTACTATTATTATAAATTTTACCCGAACTTTTTCACAGTATAGGTACGGATGACACCATCATTGCACGAAATGGCTTGGGCATCAAATCGAAATGAAGACTCCTCACAATGACCTGCACATTTTTAAATATAATACATTTCAGATTTTTCTCGACATTATTATTATAAAATGTATTATATAATAACAGCTTATATAATTATTTTAAGTCTTAGCATAAATTAACCAAAAATATATAACCAATAGAATCAGGTTTTTGATGGATGAAGCCTGAAGGATCACTTAACTACCAAATTTAAAATTAGGATGTTAGAATCAGAAAAGTTACTTGTGAATGCTGAATAAAATCGAATAGTTAACATGTGTTAACTTGTTAGTGGATTTGTTGAAAACGGTTAAATTTAATTTAACTTGCCAACAGATTACTAAATACTAGAATAAAAGATTTGTACAACTAAAGAATTTCATATTATTCAAACTTAATAAATTAATAAACTTGACAATTTTACCATGATGGCATACCGCATGGGTATTTAAATAAATTGTCCATACAGCATATTATGTAACTTAAAATTTTAAACATTCCTTCTAATAACTATACACATCAGTATCACCTTCTTTTTTAATATACATTCAGAGAAAAAAATCACTTTGTAGCTTAAGTTTTTACAGCTTATTAAAACCAAGTTTATAGGTACTTTAAAAACTTTATAAAACTAATTCATATTTATATTTATAGTAATATAGAATTGCCAATGCCTAAATTTCTATGTAACATGTAAGATGATAAAAGACAGAAACGTTTCCAATCCCTTAGGTACACGTTAACTTTGGAAATGAATGTTTAGTTTTACCTTAAAATTCCATTGACTTGCCACTTATTTCACAACACGTGTCATTGAAACCCCAATGGCGACAACGCAATATTCCTCCCTCGATTCAGTCCAAAAGAAATTGAAAATCTAAAAGGAAAAAAATAAAAATACTTTTTATTTAAATATTCATGACCAAACCATAAAAACCCTCAATATGAGCAATTAATGCAAACAAAAACATAGTTTAAGAAGAGGATAAAACAAGAATTATACATTCAAACGTAATAGGGTTCTTATACGAGCTGAACGAGTAAAAAGAGTTTTTTCTAAATAATAGTTAAATGTCGTTTGATATGTAATGAAATCTTAATTAACTTCTCTAATTGTTTAATTTTTACAATATACATCTAAACTGATATGCCAAAGCTAATTTGATTGAGCTATACAGAAACACAGAATGTTACAATTTTTTATATTATAAAAAAATATTAGTGTTTAAATAAAAACTGGCATTTCATAAACTTAACACTAAAAACAAATAATATGTTTAATTTTACAAACCTTGTTATTATTAAAGTGTTCATGAAAACGATTATATTATCAATGAATGTTATGTTGATTATAATTAAGTTATTAAACTTTGTATAATAAACACTGATAATCAACATAAAAAATTGATTGAAATGAAAATATTGTCTTATTATTTTTTAGTAAAAATACTTAATATTTGCTTTAAAGTATTTATATTACAAAAATAAAATGCTTTGGGTTACATCAGTAAACAAATGTTTATCGATTTAAATTATAATTTTCAAACAAAAATAAAGAACTTTAATGTGAAAAATTTAATAGATTTAAAAAGAAAAGCATTTAGATACAATAATAATATTGTATGAAAATTAAAATAATGCTAAAAAAATTGTTTGTTGGTTTTTGTGTTAAATATACTTACTTTGATGCATCATTAATATAAGAAATAAATCACCATAGACGAATAAGATTAATTTCATGGAGTTGTCCACATCTTGTTCGATATATATATTTTGGGGCTACACAAATCAATATGTATAAATTGATAGGCGCAAGCTATTATTCAAATCATTCTTAAAGAATGATATTTGTGAATTATACAATGATTAATATTAAACAACTTATGGTATAATGTAACTAAATTAAAATATCTATTATTATTAAGGATATTTTTGTAGGTTTTCATGGATAAACAAACAAAAATTAACTGGTATACAATTTTTTGTACGGGTTCATATGAACTTAAAAAATTAACAAAAGATGACACATAAGATAAATGAAAATATTTTAGCTTTAAATTAAACTTGGTAATGGAGCTATCAATAATAAAAATTTACATGCAAGTTTTCATTATTTGAAAATTAGACTTAACTGTTACATTATTTAAAAACAATTATTTATATTGCTGGTGACAGAGCAATATTATATTGTAATGACTTAGCAGCATAATTTGCTTTTACAATAATTTTGTAACACATCGTAATATGTAACATTGAGTTATGTAACATTATTAAAATTATTAATTTTTATAAAAAGAACTGATTTTTACATAAGATATCATAAGTTTGCTGGGAAAGGAAGCAGTACGGATCGTCAATTTAATAATTGATTTAGTTTAACCAAGTGTGGAATTAATTTTAATATTATTGCACTTTATGATTTCAGAGTCAAATAATTACATTATTAAAAAATAAGGTATGCGTAAATGGTGTATTCACATGGACAAGCATTTGTTATTATTTTATTTAAATGGTTTAATATGTCTATTAGTTTTTACATATAAATTAGTTACAAGTTCAGCAGCTTTTGAAAAGCTGTTGTTTAACATACTTAAAATTAATGACTACATGTTTAAAGATAATGTTATTGATTTGTAAAATTATGACATATTGTCCAACTAACACAATTGTAATAATACATTTTAAGTAACAAATGACAAAAAACATAAAACACGAAGTATTCTGAGTTTTACTTATTTTGATTGGCTTCATCTGTGCTCTTCGACCGTAAAAACTGTCACAAGATATTAAATGATGATTTCTCTGTTTTGGGGCGTTACTCTAAACTGTAAAACTGTATAAACTATAAAATAATCTAATTTTGCATTTATATCAGGAATAAGGAACGCAATACTGATTGTGTACTAATCAAGCATTGTCATACATGCACATAATAGTTGTACCTAGATTATATAATTAATAATTGCTAAATAAATAAAACTTACAAATATATTCATACGAGGGATTGTTAAAAAATGGATAGTAACCATAAAAACATTTACTAGAAATACAAATGCTGTTACACATTATCTCCGGTTTGCGTTCATTATCTCCACTAGATAGAGAAAATAAAGATGTTAAAAAAAATTAAATATTAAGTATACTCAAATATAATATATCTGCAAAACGGTACAATAATAGTAATAATAAAAATAATAATAGTAACAGTAATTATAATTTAAAAAGATGAAGTAAATAAAATTCAAAGAAATAAAATAGTGAAATACATATAATTATCATGTTTTACTGATTTTGTCTTTAGTTTAATTACTTTATTTGATTTTGTAATGGATATTAGGTAATTGGATTTAATTATTACAAAAATAACTATTACATATTAAATTCATAATTTATATATTTTACCCAATCTCCAATTTTATAATATACACTATAAACATAGGCATATATGTTTTCATTCAGTTTTATTATTACTAATATATTTTATGTGTCCTAAAACTAATATGACTTGCATGAAAATAGACATAAAAGAAAAAAACATGTGTTACAAATAAAAATGATTAGAAAATTCAATTTAATTTACAGTTTTTTATAACATCCATACAATGTAAAAAAATTATAAAGCAAGATATAATTCTTAAAATACAAACGGAGTTACTACAATAGACTTTATAATATTATAAATTTAATATTAATAAATGATCTGTCTTGAAATGACGAAATGTCCGGATTTGTAAAGTTATGGCAAAATACATATTAAAAATGAATTTACATTATTTGACACAAAATTAATGTATAGTTACATAAATTCTCATGATACATTTAGCAATGTAAGTTATACTGTCTAAATACATAGTAATTTACTAGCTATACTATTTTTGAAAAACATGAAATTTGTTGAAATACAATATAAATAATATAAATTGATAAAAACAACAAAAATATATATTATTAATAAAAATATTTTCATATTTTATTAAATAAAAAAATCAACATCCACCTAGCAAAATGTTTAAACTACTAAATTATATTGTATGAATATAATATAAAATATTATAAGCCGCAATTCCAATTGTCAGTTTTATAAAATGTAATCCTTTGCAAGGTTTTTAGTATTATATACAATCATATGCCATGTAATAAAAATTCTATTTTATTTTGACTTACCAAAAATATAAAACATTTTATCCTTTAAGTCTTCAATATGGTGGTCTATAACCATAAGCAGTGTCGGTTTTTGAATACATGTCTATCAAAAACAACACAAACTGTATTACAATTGATTGATTACACGCCGAGGTTAAAATGAAGCAGATTATGTTACTGCATTATAACCAAATGATAATTGGCTTTTGTCACGGTCAAATCATCTCAGTAAAAACGTTGCAGAAATAAACATTTTGCAAGCACGTACCATCGCAAATAATAATTAATCAACATAGTCCTAAGTCGACAGTTGCATATTATGTTGCACAATTTTGCTATCCATTGATTGATAATTTATAGTTACCACATTACTACATCATTATCTTTAGATTTAATAAATAAACAATTTACGATATTAATATTTGCGACCTTATTTACCTGCAACATAATTGCTGCAACGTTTTTCCCACTATATAAATTTTACAGAGATGTTATTGCTACGACATTTTGACATGTATCCTAATAAATAATATAACACTTAGTGTAACTAAATATAATTGATGAGGGTCTTAAGTTAGTAAAATAAGTAAAATTATGTAATTCGTGTCGATTCTCTACCCAGTTCGCTTAAAAAAGAAATTCAGTTTAACCTTAGATCATTTAAAATAGATGTAAGAGATCTGTAGCCATAAAGTTTGCTCAAACTGTATTTCCATGGAATTTTCAAGTAACAAATTTTTAACAATAGTGCGGGGTTATATTGAAATTCGTTCGGCATACGGGCAATAACACGTAACGCTATATCCATTTTTAAGAGTTAAACAGTATTATAACTATAGGTTAAATATCAAGATATTCTGGTAAGAACGGACATATTAAGTAACATAAAAAAAATATGATTAGAAGCTTTCAATAAATAGATTTAACTTAATTAATAAAATAAATGTTTTAACTTTAAATTTGTTTCTATCCGTTTTTTTAATTTGCTTAAGAAAATGGAAATTTAAATTCAATTAATGTTATGGAGATTTCATTTTTATTCATCAATAATTTTATTACAGCTAGAGACATTTAGACATAATATTAGTTTTGACTAACCTGTCTGATAAGAAGAGTTAGTAGGACCTTGGTACTGTGTCGCAGTTTGTGTTGAAGTTCCATAATTGTAATTAGAATAATTTTCTTCTAAAATTAAAAAAAAAATTCACAAACATTTATGTAAGAGCCAATGTAAATCACACTACTAGTTACTACTAACCTGGTTTCGAATAATTGTTTTCAGCTACATAAGGCGCTGTTTGTTGAGAATAGCCTGTCGCCTGATTTGAGTCATATTGTGCTTGTGGATTTTGGTATGCAGTATAATTGCTTTGCTGTTGATCATACTGCCCATACGTACCCCCGTAGGACGGCTGATTTGTGTAATTAGTTGCTGCTTGATTATACGGTTGTTGCTGAGTGTAACTAGTTACAAAATACTATATTAGATTTTACACAGTAAATAGTAATTTTATAAACTAATACCTGCATAAGATTTATTTATAAAATATAAAGTTGATAACAGTCTCTTTGATTCGTTTACATATCTTTTTAGTATAAGTTATAGTTAAACGATGACTTACTCATACTGGTTTTGTGCTTGTGGTGCCGCTGGTTGAGTAGGCAATGGATTATAACTTTGTGAATTATTAGCATTGTTGTAATTCGCATTGTAAGAACTATTTGAACAGAACACAAATTTTACATACAATATGTATTTAACAAGATAATTATATTTTCCTGTTAACATATGATATTGATTTAACTTACGAATCCATTGTTTGTGGTGGTGGTTGCTGGTAAGTCTGCAGCATCGAGGTGTTATTATATTGCTGGGGTGGATGACCATATGGTTGCTGCTGTTGGTCATATTGCTGTGTTGTATCATAACGCTGTGTTTGGTTATACTGCTGTGATTGATCGTACGGAACTTGCTGTTGCATTTGTTGCTGATTATTATACTGCGATTCTTGTGCTTGGTTATACATCTGTTGTTGTGGTTGCTCATAGACCTGAGGGTGGGCATTGTATTGCTGAGGATACTGTTGAGACCCTGGGTTGATAGAAGGTTGTTCATTATGCCGCGAAAACAAATTTTGTTCATTCCGACGAACATTTTGTGTGTTTGAATGATTTTGCATTTGTTGTTGGTAACCACCATTTTTATAATCTATCTGTCTGTTATTATGATGATTCAATGTTCTATTGTTATGATGATCCATTGATCTATCGTTATTGTAGTCCATTGACTTTAGTTTTTTGACTTGATGCACCTGAGTCAATAATCTTTTAGCTGGTCCGTTGTTATGTTTATTTGTGCCACTCGGATGTCTAGTACCAGTCGTTGTAATTTGAACAATATCATTAATTTGATTATTGGCTACACCTGTATCATAAGAAATAAAATTATTTTTTAAACCCACTTTTATTTTAAATGGTATTTAATAAACATTACTTACAAAGAAAAACGATTAAAAAAAAAACATTTTATAAAAAAACAGAAAATTTGTTAATAGAATGTGAATGTGTTACAACTATACCTCTATTATTTTTATTATGACGACCTTTATTAGAATTGATTAGAGGCTTGGAAAAAGTTTGAGACATTAATGACGGAGGTGTAGTTTTCTGTTGTAATAAACTTTTTGGATTTTCGGATGATTGTACTTTAATCTCATATTCATCAACACCACTATAATGATACAAATAGTTAAACCAATATAATTAAATACAAATTCATTTAAAATAATTAATTGTCATATACAAAACAATACAAAATAAATTAATAATCTTTAAATAGGAACTTTAAATAATAATAATACATTTTATATTTATTTAAAAATAAAACATTTTTAAATTTATACTTTCATTTTCATTTTTATTTATATTTTTATGTTTAAAACTTAAATATCTATATTTTTTCCTCTTAAGTATATCATAAGTAGTCCGATAATCCATGATCATCGCATGATAACCTGAATACCCAAGTAATCCAAAATATACAGATATTTTTGAATACACAAAAATAATTATGACATATATTATAACCATTGTTTTTAATACAGCGTGTTCCACGTTAAAGGTAGCATTTGAATTTTTGATGATATACTACAATTTTGAAAAATAGCCTATGTGAAACAATTTTTATTTTTATCAAACAAAAATAATTTGAAGTTTTTGTATATTTTTTGCCAAAAGCTTGATTTAGGTAGGGTAACTTTTGAAATTTAAAACGTGTTGGGCATGTTACGTAATTGCAATTTGCGGTTCACTAGTGTGGACGAAGTTTAACATCTACATGCCATTATTGCGTTGAATTGCTTTAAACAACAAATTATTGTAGCTATTGAAAAGCGAGTAAAGTGAAATGTTTGTATTTTTAGAAGTACACAAGTTAGACTACAAGTCAAACATACTTGCGATCAATTGGAATTTCTGTATTTGAAATGTTATGCAGTCCATGTTTCATACCGCTTGAAGGTATTAATTTCACTCCAGGCGGTATAGGTCTCAAATGAGATGGTATATTACGCAGTACATGAGGAGGTAATAACATATTTCTCATTGGTGATATTCTAGACAACATTCCTCTAGCATTTATTACAGGCAACATATGGGGTCTCATCATTCGAGACGGATGGCGAAAAGGTCGTGGTAAAAACCCAGGTGGTAAGTTTCTCATCATAACAGTTCTAAAACAAAAAAAAAGGTATAATAATATAAGTAATTTATAACTACTATAAATATCCTAATGCTTTAAAACATCTCATTTCTTTATCCCTTACTAAAATATTTACCTAGGCGGGTATCCTTGCAGTCGAGGACGCATTAAGTGAGGAGGTGCCATTCTCGGACGAAGAACAGGAACCTCTTCTAGTTCCATAATTTCAAAAACTTCTTTATTCTTATAACAAAATCAATTTCATCTAATAAAACAAAGATGACAGATATAATAATGGTATACTTTAAAATCAACAATATAGTTTTTTTTTTTTTAATACTAAGTTTAAATGCTTACTAATGCTAAATGCTTTACTGCTTATAATTGCAAAACATTCATATAATACTGTAAGTGCAAATTCTAATGACTTTACATAATTACTGTACGGTAGTAGATAATAATTGTATTAAATCAAATGAATATCCTTAAATAAACAATAAATACTACAAGTTGCAACTACTATGTTCAATTTATTTTTTATTTTCAGCTGATAAATGCATGAAATATTTATTCAATATAAACAATCAGAACGTAGTTTAAAAATCAAGCTACAAATCAACTCATTGAAATTTTTAGATTGCTTGACAAGTAAATGATTAAATACAATAACAATTACCTATCTTAAAAAGTAAAAAAAAAACAAAATAACTATTTATCATTATAGAAATAGCAATGTTTACCTTAGAGCAATAAATTATAATACTGATTACTGTTACTAAGATTAAAGCAAACTTAATCTGTAAAATAGCTGATTATATGAAACTCAGGTTTTGCTTTAACATTTTTTACTTTTTACAATAATTAAATGTAGAACAATAGAACGTTTGTACTCAACAATGTTGTATACACAGGTTTTCTCATTTAAATGTGCCAACTAATATAAAGGTAAAAAAAAAATTATGTTTTTCTAGTTATTGAACTAGAAAAGTTAATAAAGTTATTTTTCTCAGAGTTCTGCAAATGTTTGATAAAAAATGATTTTCATAAAAATCATTTTCTAATGTATGTATTAGACAGAATTCAATTTTTTTTTTTTTTATGTAAAGTTTACTATTTTTTCTAAAGGGGCTAAAAGACCAATTTTTGATATAGTTTAGAAAAATTAAATAGACCTATTAGAAAATACCATTAAGAACTAAAAATATAACCGCTTATAGTAAAATTAAAAAAAAAACAATAATAATTAGGCCTTTACCCTTCACATAGAAGACTGTACACTTAATAACAAGAAATATTTGTTAAAATCGGTTTAATACACTTCAGAAAGCAACTTAGCGTTTTAGTCTTTATTCTTATAAAATTTGAAGCTTTCCGTTCCTCTTAAGAATTATCATCCCACTGGTTAACATGGTCCGTATTAATACGTAGCTAATTAGCTAATTTAAGTTAGGGCTACGTATCGGCACGACCTGGTATCTAATATCGGCCAATATTGGCTATATTGGTTATAATTTTTTCCCAAAACCACTCGCCGATAATTCTAAAAAAAATTATAACTAAAATGACAAAACTAACAGGTGCACTGTAGGTTTTAACGATAAAAGACCATATTATTTGATATGTCACATGATTCTTATTAGCTCCAATATAGGATATTGGGTTTATACGGCTAAAATATCAGTTTTTATTAATATCTAATAAATAAGTAAATAAGCTAATGTTTTATGATCGGTAGTGGCTTGAAATATCCAATTATTACAGAATCAGCTCATGCCTAATTTACATAAGTTCACTAACCAAAATCACTATTAACAATATTGCCGACTGAAAGTGATTAACTGAAAATAGTTTATCTTTTCATTAGTTTACTCTTCATTCCATTTCAAATCACCCCCGTGATCAATGGCAATACATCAATAAAGATTAATATAATAAATAATTTTTTTTGTTCTAAGGTTATGTCCTAAAGTTAGATCTATATTCGAGAGTCAACAAATTATAGGATTAAAACAACAATCATTTTAAGGAAACATCACAACTTATACCTCCAATTTGAAATGCTGAAGAATCAATACTTGTACATTAGATTCTCATTAGATCAATTTTTAAGGGAAAACAAATTTTAAATATTAAATTTTATTAAAATGAGTGAAAAACTTATATCTTACTATTTATAAAATTATTTTGGTTATAACTTTTTATCATTAATTTATATGCATATTTTAGTATCTAAAGTAAAATTATTATAATTGATATCCAATCCAATTTAATTTAATGAATATATTTGCAACTAAGTATTTACTTATGTATCAAGTAACCAATAACATCTAAATGTGTTACACAAATTATGTTCTCCCCGATTTCTATCATGGAAAAAATGCTATTTCCAGAAATATTGAATTTTTATGGTAGATTTAGTCAAAATGTTTTGACTTTGAGAAAAAACAAAATATTATAAGTTTAAGTATTTAGGTATTTATAGTTTTAAGTTTGCCCACTTTTGCACTTGCATAATGTGCCGTCAGCACTGTCGAACCATTTGGCCGAGATCAGTAAATTTTTGCCGGTGCTTAGCGGCCGCCGTTACTTGGCACTATCAGCGGCTGTTGCGTGTAAACAGATGGTAATAAAAATAATATACAAAATTTTCCAAAAATACCGTGTTTATTGACCATGTTTACTTTGTAATTATCTTTTTAATGGCAACTCTTGATATTATTACGTAAATTGAGAGTACAGATTGATTTTCTCATTTTAATTTATGCGTATTTGCAGTGTGCACGTGCCAAATGGTTTGATAATACAGCTCACTACGTATATACTTTGTGGGCTGCAACAATCCACACCTGCATTCACTGTCGGTAGCATTTATACGTGAACACGACTGTTTTAGTGGGAATACTTAAACTGAATAGAGTATAGTCTTAGTATAGACTTAGTTATCAAGAGTATTAAACCATTGAATGTTACTGAAGTTTCTAGAGGAATAAAAATATGTACGAGATCACGAAAAACTAGAGAGATTAAAATAAATGTTTGACGTATTAAGATTGTACTGTAATAGTTTAATCTTAAATCACTATGAAATAAGATTTCAATACACTTAACTTGCATTAAACTAGTTCATACAATGGCACTTCACAGTACAGCACCTGCGTCCAAAGCCAGCATAATCGTTACTACTCTATTGCCACTCATATCAAAATATTTTCATCGGCAAATTGTTGGCATAATCAAAACTGACTCTACTAAAGTTTTGTAAACATAACTAGATGCAATGTTTTTTCTCTTTGTAAGAGTATTATTCTGCGTGCATAGATAGATTCTATATTTTATAATATTATTATTACTAAGTAAAACTTACCTCGTAACGACCGGAAAACAATGTCGAAAATTGTATACATGCGAAAATTTGCAATGGTGAAAATCTCGGCCGGCGTCTTAAGTGCCTTTTTGTTTACTTATAATACATATGAGTTTACTGAGAAAACGTGCACAAGTACGGATGACCGACGACAATCCGATTTCGGTAGGTACAGTTAGAAGAAAAAATACAGAAATCGGCAGTCTACAAAACGCACATTTAAACGCGGTTGAATATTATACAACTTTTTAAACTCTCGAATGATACACACACACCGCGTTTGTTTGGAACCGAACTATCAACATAATACAAGGTGGGTATATTATTTATCCTGTCACCAGTCGCCAAACAGATGCGGGATGCGCTAAAAAAAATGTCCGTAAACCGTAGCGGTAGCGTTTGTGATAAGCAAATTTGCCTCCACGCTTCGTGATGACTCATTGCTCATTAGTCTGTCATTATTCATATTCACTCGGCTATGGACGCCTACCACCATGCAGCTGTACATTCAGCGCTACAGTGGACAATAGCGCAAGTTTTCGACTCCAAACGAAAGCCGGTGAAAAATGAAAATATTAACAAATTTAATATTTATACAATTACAAAAAGTAAAACATTTTATGTGTATTTTTCTAGTTTGATATCATACCAAAATATAGCGCTTTTTATTAGAAATCCTTATGGTTTATTACACGACGTATAGACACAGGTCACAGAATAGGTTAAATCAGAAAGGTCGCTTAGTATGATAGGTAGGGTAAGAGTGCTTGCTATCAGACAAAATTGTGAAAGTGTCCATTCTGGTTTAATCTATTCTGTGGTATGTAGATAATAATATTATATACAAATTTTGATGTACCTATATCTAATATTTGTAAGGAAAACATACAGAGTGTAAACTGTAATGTTCCTGAACATTTAATTATTTAATTAACAAAGTGACCCGTGATTCAATTATTATTGCAGATTTTACAAAATTTAAGTAGAGTCAAGATAACCCATAAGGAAAAATTGAAAACATCGTAAATTAGTAAGTAAATTTTTCAAATATATTGTGCATCCATGCATTTTTAAACTAAACGACATAAACTTTTAATATTATTTGTAGCAGCGAACGTTAACAAACCTAAAAAAAAAGTGATAAAAATAATTGATTTAATTCTTATTCTTCTTATTCTACTACTCACTTACATATAATACTTTTTTACAGTGCTTGGTTGGGACTGTACTGGTTTGAACCTACAATCCACTAATTTGCATCGAAGCGTTATTTAAAAAAGATTATATCACTTTCAGTTATAACAATTCCTTTAGACAAATGACGTCCCCAACCCCACTGTACTGGCTTTTTTTTTTTAATTAAACTAGTACATATATTAATATAACCTTTATGTTTTATTCAGGGTCGACTGAACTTACTTGATCGCAGTCAGATAGTTTAGAGTCGAGAATAGGGATGTGATCACCAACGGTAAACATAATCCAGTAACTCGTCTTTTATTGATGTATTGATGATTCAACCTAAATATAATTATAAAGATGATAAAATGTTTTTTTATTTAAAATTTGATAATTAAATTTTTTAGAATTCCATGGTCTTTGTGCAGAACAACAGATATTCACAGCCTTCAGGACAGTGCAGTTTTTTTATTATTTAGTACAGGAGAAGTACCAATTGTGCAATTACGAATCTAGTAATAATTTAATTTTGGAGAATATACCAGGGAGCCGATAATAAGATTTACATCTCCGCCGTCCAAGACGACCATAGGTACGTCATCCATACGTGCCCATCGGCAAACAACTTGTTGTAGTACCGTGCTCTACATGCGTGAAATCTATTAATTTGATAATACATAAATCACAAACTTATTTTTAAGATTTTAATAATAAATACCTTCTCAGGTATTGCATCGAAGCTAAAATGTAAAAAGTATAAATTATTTACTGAAATTAAATGAAAATGTATATATTTTAGAAGAAGAGGAGTGGAAATTTGTAACTGTTTTTACATTAAACAATAATTTTTCTTTCACGCAATTTTTATTAATGATATTATTTTATTATTATGACCTGTGTTCCCAGTCTCTTCTTCAACATTTTTAATAAAAAACCTTATGTTATGTAAAGTGAATTTTTATTTATTGGTTTGTTTCACTAAGAATATTTAAAATGGTCAAAAAGAAGTGTGGTATGGTATAAATAGTTAGTTAACCATAATTAAAAAAGAGCGCTAAAAAACATATTATTACTACTCTTGTAAGATTGTGATAAAATTCTTAACTATTACATTGTAAAGAACTAATGAACATGATTTTATGGTTACCAAAATTTAAAAAAAAACTAATACATATTTGATATTTGTGACCATTAAACAGCAGAATTTCGCAAAAAAAATGGCTTACTATTATTCTTACATTTATTAAAAAATACATTTTCTTAGTTCTCACTTTATAAATAACTAAAAAACTTGATCCAGCAGTATGTTAAGACGAAGCAGTCCTCAGCCTCGACAAAGGTATAAAAATTATTTTAGACTAATTTGTTCAGTAAAAGGGAGAAGATGACAAATAATATATACATTGTTACAATGGATACCGTGCCTTTACCGATGTACTACATTATTACATTTATCATACGATAATGCTTAATTAATTGGTCAAAAATCCATCTTAAGATAAATTATTAATTATTCTATTATTTGTATTATTTAGATTACAATATATCTATAACCCAAAACAACTAGTTCAGTAATGTTTTTATTCCCAGAGTAATATATTGTACTCGCATCTATATAGGTTTATTTATTGTTTATTTTAATAAATTCCAGTTTATTATACTGCTATGCAATTTATATTGTCGCTGGACGTGTGTAGAGATATTTGAGATCATACCATCTGCAAAGTAGAACATTTGTAATATGATAAGTTATTTGATTATTTAAAGGAATGCTTTTATTAATCTAAGTTTCTTGTTTACCATGTTTTAACTTGATCCATGTGTTGTTATTTACCAAAATGTGTGGTGATATCAGGGAAAGTCAGTGTATGCATTAAAATATGTTATAAACCACCCCCTTTACCAGATAGCAAAAACTATGTAATCAAACCAAATAATTTACATACATTTTTGAAAATTTTAAATAGATTTTTCAGTTTCCTATAATATCATTAATTTGTTTCTGTGACAATATAAGTATAGAAAGTTTACAAGGCTTAATCATAAATAAAAAATAACTTCTTAATATAAATCTTATTATTATTAAAGTAGTCAATACAATACAAATAGTATAAGTATTTGTTAATTTTTTTTTCTCTTTCTATTTAAAAAACAATGTAACCATTTGCTTGTTATGTCTTGCAAGTACAGATTGTAAATATTCTTTCATAATAAAAAAAAAAGGTTAGAAAAATTAGTAGGTAGGTACAAAAAATATATAAAACTAAAATATTATACGACAAGAAAATAAAAATAAATTATAAATCACATATTACAACCAAAATATAGGTGTTATACAATGATTGATAACATATTATCAAAATGATGTATATTCATACATATTTTGTTTACTATATTTAGAAGATTCAATTATCCGAAATTTTATTACATTCATATTATTATTAGTCTTAAATTAACATATTCTCTAATAATGATTTAAATTATTGTTATAATAGTATTTTATATTATTTAAATTGTAATTTGTAAATTAATTTATTGCATGTTGCATAGGAATCAGGGCAATGCCATTTGATTGTGTATGACGTTCATACTGACTAGTTTTTACTGTAGTATACATACTTGTTTGTTATTAAAAACATAAATGCAGTTATTAATAAAGGTAAAATTATAAAAAGCCATTATATTATAATGTTTGGTTGACACAACTGAATTATTTACAATTTTAGATATTTCCACATCATGAAATGCTTACTATAAACATTATGGAACTTGTCTAAGCATTTAAAAAAAATTACAAACATTTAAACAACTATAATATGTAGTATAAGTATAAGTATTATTAGATCAATTTCAATTAATTTAATTACGACTAGAAATGACATTAATAGAAAAACTTTAAATTGTGAAGTTGTTTTAACAAACACAGTAAAGCCATCATTTGTTTAAAAAAGGTTAACTGAATCGAATTAATGTATCCATTAGCTGTAAAGTTAAAATAAGTAATACAAGTCGGGTTTCAGTTAAAATTACTAAGTCAAAACACTCATTATAGTGTCATTGATTTTAAAATATACAGATAAACGGTGCTACACGCAAGATCAGTGATCATTTTATGCAGGATTTCCGCCGTACATTTGTCATAGTTCATAAACTAGCGGATGGTCAACTATGATGAAAGTATGTACAATACCTCTATATTTTAAAATCAATGAGAGTGGCCAGTGCTAAGCACCAATAAATACATACAAATGTGTTTTTAAACTAGCAATATAGAGAATCATGCAAATATACAACATATAGATACTTATATTTTTGACTTTAGAGTATTTTTTATTGGGGGATTTTGCAAATTCTCTAAACCACCTGGAAATACATGATCTAGCGCTTCTTCTAAATCTTGAATAGGAACAATATTGATGGCATCCTAAAAATAAGAACATAAATTATAAAAAATTTAAATGTATTATAAATTAATCTAAAGCAACCTTTATGTCTTGTGATAAACTTTCGGTATCTTTCATATTCGACTCTGGAATAATGATAGTTTTTATGCCTGAATTGTAAGCAGCTAAAATTTTTTCTTTTACGCCACCTACCTAATTGTTAAAGAAATTATAGTAATGTACAGTAAAAATATGTACATGTTATTGCAAAAATAATTACTTCTAAAACGTGTCCATTTAACGAAATTTCACCAGTCATTGCAATCGATGGTTTAAGTGGAATATTCCAAAAAAGTGAAACCAGAGCACAAACAATTGGTACTCCTGCCGATGGACCATCTTTTTTCAAAGCTCCCCTGAGCAAATGGATATGAACATTTGACTGGTCAATATCTATTTTGTTCTGCTTAGAATAAACAACAAATGTAATCTAGTTCAACTGTATATAGATAAATTACTTGCCTTAAAAGTAAATAACTGTATCCAGTGAAGACTTATCTCTACAGATTCTTTTAAAACTTGGCCAGCTAAACCAGTCAATAAAAACCGGTAAGGTTTATCTTTTGAATAATATCTCGATGCTTCAATTACTTGAACTCTACCACCCATTTCTGTCAATGCTAGCCCAATTGCCATACCCACACAGTTATTTATTCGTGCGATTTGTTCATTATCACTATCAAATAATTTAGCCTGTAAACAAAAAAAATTTTCAATTAAAATATGTCCATAGTATCAGGAATATATGTATAAGAATAATTTCTTACACCCAGGATTTCTTTCAATGATTTGGGTGTAATTATGAAGCTGTTCGATTTGTTATCATCATTTTCAACTATTTTCAGAGCAATAAATTGACAGACAGACTGAATCTTACGTTGTAATTCGCGAACACCAGTTTCGTAAGTATATTTCTTTACTGAGAACATTCAAGTGAAAAGTGAAATGGATGTCAATAAAAATTATTTATAACTTAACTGCTGCAAGTCAGGTGAAAATAAAATAAAAGGTATCTTACAAGTATTTGTACCAATTAAAAAATGTTATACATACTACTATTAACTTTAATTATTTTACACTTAAATAAACCACAAAATAACTTACTTATATCTTTTACAGTGTCTTTATAAATTTCTATATGAAAGTTATCCATTTTATGTTGTTTTAATGCTTTTGGTATAATATAGTTTTCAGCAATTTGTACTTTTTCTTCCTACAACCATTAAAAAAAAATTGAATTCTATCTAATAATTAAATAGTTACACATGCATATGATACATTATATTCAAGTTGACTTTTGCTAAGAGGGTACATGTAAAATTTTAGTATCCACCTCGGTTCTACAAGTCTCAATAAACATACTTCGGTGTATCCTTCCAAAAAAAAAATTTCCAGTCGGTCATGCAATGCTTGAGGAATAGATTTCACTGTATTCGCTGTTGCAACAAATAATACTTGGCTTAGGTCAAATGGTACATCAGTGTAAGAGTCAACGAATGAGTTATTCTGTTCTGCATCCAAAACTTCTAACAATGCAGCAGCCGGATCACCTCCTGAACCTTTATGCTAAAATATAATATCATTAGTATAATTTATGTATTAATAATTATACAATTAATAGTGGTGATTATATTTATTTTAAGTTTTAGGTTAGTGAATATTTTCAAGCTTTGCATTTTTTTAGAAGAAGAAGTGTAACAAAAAATTTGTTTTTGAAGAATATCTAGTGACTTGTAAGTGGCACATTAATTACATTGATGCCAGACGGATTTAAAACTAGTTAACATAGGGGCAGTTATTTATTTTTAACTTTCAAAAACTATTTTATTATTATTACTAAAGTAATTCGTTTGCATGAATACTTTTTTGTATTGACATAAAATACAGGCAATAATTGACAACATTTTTCTATGTCAATTTGTAAAAGGCTATTTAGATATTAATTTAAAACCCTGTAAAGATGAAGTTAACTCACCATTTTATCAATTTCATCGAGTAGAATAAGTGGGTTCATTGTTTGAGCCAGATTTACAGCGTGCATTACACGTCCAGGAAGCGCTCCAAGATAGGTTCGTCTATGACCTATTATATCAGAGCTGTGATTTATTCCACCCAATGATACTCTAACACATGTAAAAAAGAATATTTCAATAATTGTATAGTTTAATTATATTGTAAGTTAATCCAGTTAAACAAAATTTCTAGTGACAGAAACTTCAGTACTTATTTTATTTAAACCTATTACTATATAAATTAATAAAAAATATAAGAATATATTTATTAAAAAAGTTTTTTTTTATATTTTTTAAAACAGTTTGTTTAAATCAAAATTCTAATTGATATCACTAATAGTTCCATTTGTATAAATTGTATTGTTTTATTTACTTCAATTAAAAAAAATGTTTTTAATGTTTTTTTCTCGATTTTAAAGGGAACAGGGTGAATTTTTTTTATTTTTGACCCACTATAAGACCTTTTAGGTACAATTCCGATCTTTAGAGTTGCTACATGGAGAAATCAGTTCAGCGGTTCAAAAGATATTGTGGGTCCAGACACAACAATAAAAAATAAAACACATAATTTTAAAAACAAAAAACATTAAATTAAGAAAGTAAGCAATGTATACGAGGTACGTTGTATTATTTATTTAATCAGCAAAATTTTAAAGCTTTATGACAACAGACGATATGAAAATATTAGTAATAGTAATAAATAAAAAATTTTTAAATAATAAGTTGATTAATAATAGACCAATAATAATAATAAGAAGAAGAAGAAAAATAGTTCTAATAAAATACTTACACTTAAGACTTATTATTACTGTACTAATAAATGCATACAAAAATGTAAGGGTGAAATTAATATTTTGCAAAAAACTGTCTACATCAAATCCCTTACTAAATATAAGTTGTGTGTTTAGCGTGTTTTCTTGAAAAATAATAGTCTATTTATAAAACTGTAAAAAAATCTACACCTTAAGCTATAGTTTGAAAACTTCTAATCAATGTAACTGAAACTGTCAAACGTATTTTGAATTGTACATAAAATTAATTTTTACCTTTGAAATTTACGACCCAATGATTTTGCAATAGATTTAGCTATAGTTGTTTTGCCTACTCCAGGCGGCCCACAAAAACATAGTATTGGTCCAGGTATACTTGGATTCAATTTCCTTACAGCGATAAACTGTAAAATTCTCTGTTTCAAATCTTTCATACCATAATGATTTGCTTGCAGAATCTCTATACATTTTTAATATTTATAATTTTTAAATTGTGAATATAAAAAAAATATAATCTATATTTTAGTTGAAATCAGCATAAATACTTTTTGTTTTTGTTAAGTCAAGTGTCTCATCACTAAATTTTCCCCATGGTAAGTTGGCAATAAAACAAATATAATTATAAGTCATTGAATAATCTGGATTACCAAATCCCATTTGTTTCAAACTGTTTATTTCTTTTAATAAAATGTTAATTATTTGTTTTGGTATATTTGTGTTTCTAAAAATAAAGTTAATTAAAGTACAAAATAAAAAAATATTTTTCACACTAACTTGGTAAACTCAGCAAGTATATTTTTAACTTTTTTTGGAGGAATTTTTTCAATTCTTTGTATGCTGCCTTCACTAGCAATAGTTGGAGGTATGGGAATTAAACCGGTTCCACCAAATTTTCTTGAATTGAGATTTCCTATATAATTATAAAATAAATATGAATATGGCCCACAATACAATGGTGATATTAAATATGCTAATGCCTTAAATAAGGCCATCAAGTATATTAAGTTAACAATGTGGTGAAGATAGTCATTTAATTAGGTAGTGAGGTTAAAATCCTTTTTTATGTCAGCAAAACGCTACAAGTTGATTTTCCATTTTTTTTTCTTTTACAAAATTTAACCAACCAATAATATCCCACAGAAACCGGACCATATAGAACTAAAATTAAATCACTGTATTGTACACTTATATTTGTCACTAATACCTATAGGCTATAGTAAAGATGTTATGTATAATAAAACCATTAAGGAAACTTAAATTTCTAATTATTGGCAGTGAGCAAACTTAGTTTATAGGTTTTTTCAAAAATTGTTAGGCAAAGTACTTTTATTCTATAATTTTTATTTACTTACTAATTGTTTCTTTTTTTAACAAATCAATCATAAGTTGCGTTATTCTATTTAAATTTGGAGCTTGAAGAACTTCATAAGCGTAAGCTGGAGTTAGCTGAATAAAATTCTTCATACAATAATTAATAGCTTGATGTAACTCGAAATTATATAATAACTTCTATAAAAAATTGAAAAGCAAATAATTATCAATCTATATGTGATTAAAAATAATATCTATATAATATAAAACTATATATATATATATATATACTATTTAAAGATGTACAGGGTTATCAAATTTTATGTGATTGTACATTTTTCAATAAAAATAATTTTGTTATCTAAAAAAATTTCATAAAAAACTGTTAAATATTCATTTTTGATCATTTAAATACAACGTAAATAAATATATTTACGCTGTAGTTATAGAGAGTAACTTTAAAAAAATACCATCAACCTACATATTTTATTTACTTATTAAAAGCCGGATGGTGTACTGCAATAATGACTGGTAAATAACCAGTTCTTTTATTATTTAATTTTTATTTATTTAATTTGTTAAAATGTGTGATAGATGTAATATTTACAAGGATATTACAGTAAATATTAGTCTAAACCTTTCCGTTAGCATATATCTTAATTTAACCCTCCAAAGACAATTTTTTTTTTTTTTTGAGAATAATATATTCTCTCTTTTTTATAATGTTTTAAACCCTAAATGATGACCACCTGGTATCACTCAATAAAAACCTACTCAAACTATTCCTTATTTAATATTATATTGATTATATTTTAACCTTTTTGTGCTAAAACAATTTTTTCATTGATAAAATTATTGTAACAATAAAATTTGGTTAACCCTGTATCAAATATAAATGTTAATACCTTTACATAGTCAGCTATGTTTGGGTTAATGTAGCCAATTTCGGAGGAAGATAACATATCAATAAACGCTCTCTCAAAGGCAGCTTGCAAATCATGTTGGGCTTTTTCATCACCTTCAAGTTTAAAGATACCCAATGTATATGTAATGTGATTTTATTCAATATTATACATACCAATCATTTCTATAAAATTGTCTATTAATTCTATTTCATGAATTATTAATGGTTCTTCAATGACTACTGGACCCAATTTGAAACGAATGATGCCTTGAACAACTAAGAAAAATACTTCTGGAGCATTGTCTAACTGAATTATGCTTTGAACTAATCCTACCGCTCCAATTACATTGCTTTCCTAAAACAATAAATGTATGTATTATTAATGTTATAGAGCATGGAAATTGAATTCCAATAAATTTTAGTAGGTTGAGCTTTGAATTACCTTGTGTAAATCAATTTTGGGTATAACACCAATAAAGTTAGATAATTGGTTGTTTTCGTCTTTGTCCAGTAAATATATTAAGAGATTATGACTGTAAATCACATTAATAAAATATGTATTACATGCAAAATAAAATATTCTTAAAGAGTACCTCATTGTATTATAATTTCATCAATAATTATTATTGAAATAAATACTTTAAGTTTAGTAACTAGTTATTATTTATGCAAAAATATTGATAGATACTGTTAGTAATTCTTACTTATCTTTAACCGGTAACTGAATTTTCAAAAGATAGCCAGGAAGCAAAAACGGAGTAGTGTATAAAATAGGAAGTACTTTTGGAATGTCCATTTCCATTGTAGTAATAATTTAATATTAACTATTAAATTGAAAACGTTTGGTGTAAAAACCAAATGTTGGGTGTTATTTAAAACTTAAAATAAAATAATATATGAATATTATCCGTTTTTCAGACAAATCGACCAATTACTTCTAAGGAGCAAATAAAACTCTACAGGACGGCTGTACAGACTGAAACTATTATTTCCTTACATCCCCATCCGGTCGGACTTCCCGCACCCCCTCCCTACCTCCCCACCCAATGCTTGGTCTAAGTATTGATTAATTTTTTGAATCAATAACCCAAACATGCCAGTAAGAACACTGCAGAACGCCATTATCAAGAAATGGCCAATGGGCTACAATTTGCCGCATACGTCAACACGGGTGACTAAATTACTTAGCTAGGTCGTTGTTTAAATAAGAGATTATTTCACCAAAGCGACAATATATTTTTAAATGTCCAAATACAAGAATGAACATGGGCTGCTAATATGTGCATGCCCAATAACCACGCCCCAATTTGGTTAACCACTACCGCGGTTAGTTACATGCCGGGCGGCTGCTAATGGTATATACTATATTTTACCATATAGCTATAAATCATTTTTAAAATCTTAGAAAAAAAAACTATAGAGAATAATATTATGTATAATAATTTTGGGTGAGGTGGAAATGAGTAACTTGAGAATTTCGTGTAAAATAGACGTCATTTACAACCAAGTTAAATGTTTAAGACAAATGTGGTGGTCAGCAATGATGTAAATTGTAATGGCATAAATAGCCATTAAATAAGACAATTAATAAAGAAAATGAAAATACCTAAAACTTAAATATTTCTGTTATTGAGATTGATATAATGAAGACTAGATTAGATGAAATTAAGAATAACTTAGATGAGTTCATGGGTCGGGTTAGGATGGTTAGTTGGACTGTACTAAATCATACGGTTCTGTGATAGCTACAAAAATTATAGGTACACCATCCTACTATGCAAATATTTCGTTATATTGTACCCAATAAGCAGATTTATATTAGGTTATAATACATTATTTAATTATACTTTCGCAGCATACTTAATAATTAAAAAATTAAAAAACCTTGCATTACATTAAGTAGATACATATTTATTCATAAATGTGTGTAGGTTATATTTTCTAACATGATAATTATTTATTTATGTACATTAATTAATATGTACCATTAACATTTTCAATAAGAAAAAATAATTTATAAAATTTTGAGTAAAATCACAGTAATATCAGTTAAAATAAAATATTACATATAATCATTGCATAATAAAATAAATATTCTTTTTTAATATTTGAATAATAATAACAATATTAACAGGTAGGCAATACCAAAATGTTTGTAATTTTAAATACTTATCAGGTAATTTTCTGTTTTTGAGTTTAATAATTATATTTATTTAATCAGTAATATACTATGTTTATATACTATTAACTAGTGATAAAAAGAACTACTTAGAAATAATTATTATATAATAAGTTAAATAACATGGGTATAATAAAATACAAATAATAATACTTAGTTGAAAACATTAATAATAAAAATAATTCACCCAATAAAATTCTTTAATAAATTATAACAATAGAATTATAATAGGTATTCATTATCAATGCATTACAATAGATTTACAGAAAAAGCCTATTATTTATAGTATATGTATTTAGTGATAAATTAACTTAATAATTTAAACTCCGAATACTTACTAATAAAACTTTATAAAAAAATATATAAAATAAAGACGGGTCACAATAAAAGTATGCAGTTTGAAAATACTTATATTGGATATGCAGTAAAAGTTTTTCTTTCCGAATAAAAATAACAAATCTTCCAAATAAATATTATGTACCACACGTACATAATATTTATCATTAATTTAATCTAACAAATGTATTTAAAAATAAATATCAAATCTAGATTGCTAATATATAATATATACTATACTCTTTTTAATTAGCTACAACGTGTATAATCAATAATCAAATATAACTAAAATTTTATTTTCTTGGTTATTTATTTTTAAAAAAAATTTGTATATTTATATTACTGTTCAGTTTTTGTAATATTGGATACTTTTTGAGGTAAAATTAGTGGTGGTGGAGCATGAACCATATGACTGTCCATGTCATCTAACAAACTTGTGGTTGTTGTTGCTGTTGTTTGAGGTACTTGGTAATTGGACGGTGGATAATTTTGTAGATTGGTTGGTGGATAGTAGCCAACCGAATTATGGGTCGTATAATTCTGATGATAATTATTACTCGGAATTGAATAGTATGGATCGTTAACATTGGTGTTAATCGAAGTTTGGTAATAGTTAGTACCACTCTCATTAGGATTGACCATGCCTTGTTGTGGTTGCATAACTGAACTATTACCATATTGATTATAATTTGCCATATTTCTGTCATTGGGCACAATAGAACTGTTAGGATTTGCTAACATTGGACTACCTTGTGCGGGTGCTGGCGATGAGTATGATTGACAGTATAACCCTGTTAGTGGATTAGTGTTGTATCCATGTACATTTGAAGGGCTACTATTAGCAGTTTGTGGTGGCACGATTGTATTGTTGTAATAATAATTGAACACACGCTTTTGATCAGTTTGGACTGCATATCCATTTCCATATGACAGTTGAGGGGATACAGATGGCAACGAAACACTTGGGGAATATTTTACTGGCATTAGATTACCCAAGGAAGTTCTAGAATGTAATGGAATGGTTGTATTATAAATGTGGTTGGTATTGGTTGGCGGAAAAATTGCCGACGAGGAATGAATTTGAGATGTTCCTGGTGACAAAAAATGTTTTGGAATGTAATCTTCCCCTGATGTTTTAGTATAGTTCAGCGGGCCCAAGTTATTCTGTTGTTGTGTATTATCTACACCAGCTTGAAGCGGATACGAATAAATTGTCGTTTGTCCTTGAAGCGTAGGATTTGAGTAGGTGTAATTTAAACTTGACAATGAGCTGCTACTAGGTATTGTGTTGACTGTTTGGTTGAGACTGTTCATGTTTGCTGTAGCACTCTGATGGGAAGAGATAACGTTTTGTGGTTGATGCTGACTGTTTGATTGAGAAACCTGACTTGTCTGGCTTCCAACATTGTTTAAGTCCAGATTACTCATTCTTGGAGTTAAATTACTATACATAGTGTTTGTAGACAAATTACTCAAATATTCTTTCGGTTGACTGTAGCCAGCCACTACTTGTTCTGACCCTAATGGGGACGGTCTTCGTAAACCATTATAATATGAATCATGTGCAATGTTTGTAGTGTCTTTTGCGTTATTCATGCTTGGTTGGTAATAGTTAAACGCATCGGTAGTCAGCTTATTTTGAAGTTGTGGCCGCGCATCATCGTCGCTAGCTGTATTCATCATAATTTGATCTCTTTCTTCGGTTTGAACTTGACACGTCCCTGTAAATAAATATTAAATACAAAAAAATAGCGAGTAGTTGTAATAAACATTCTCATTTTTACCTTTAACACGTTGTAATAGCTTTGAGACGTTTACTGAGAGTTTATGATAAAAATCTAAGCCTTTTGATGATTTTTCTATCAAATCTTCCATGCAATTAAATGATTCCAGGAGGGAGTTGATTTTTTCACGTCTTTTTTCTGCACTGGAAACAAATAATTTACGCACAGGAGCAGCCTGCATGTACGCTACCCTTACAGCTTCGATTATGGCAGTCTGGGCAGTTATATTTTGTTTAATAATATTAATCTATAAGAAAATAAGTTAATTGTTATTAACAAAAATATTAAATACAAAAAAATGAGTTTTTTTCTAAAACCGTCATCGTCAAGGTTGACATTGTAGTAGTTTCAAATAACATTCGTACCAAATTAGCATATTTAGTAGAGATTTGCTGTTTGAACAATGTAGATAAGTCATTTTGAGATTGGGTAACTTGCACTAAAGATAAGTTGTCTTCATTAATAGCTTTATGAAATTGAGATGCCAACATTTCTCTTTGACTTTGCATTTCACATAATTTGTTTACAACACTCTGTAGCTTACTAAACAATTTTTTATCGTTCTCATCTGGTACAAAACAATAATACTGGTTAAAAACTAAGAAGATAACTTCAATGATATTTTATAATATAATAATAATTTACCTAAATTATTAGGACAACACATTGGCGGCAAATGCTTTTCCAATTCTTCTAGTGACAAATTCATCAGTTTAAAATTATTTGTATGCATTTCTAGAGCAATGTGTAAAGTTTCATTAGACTCTTCAGCTTTCATGTGAGCTTCTTCATATTTAGCTGCCTCACGGGTTAATTCACATATCACAATAGAGTTATAAGGCTGGCCAACAGAATCCTGATATATTTTATCTTCAATTTCTTCAGTCTAAAAACAAATTGTAGCAACCATTTTAGTTATATTGAAAAATAAATGAGTGGCTTATTTCCAAACTATAAATTTCCACTAATTATACTCCAAAAAAATAAGTAATGATATTATTATTCATAAAGTTTGGTGATAATGTATTGCTTTAATTTTACCTTGAAATAAATCTACAAAACTCATTATTTTCTTGATAAATTATACTTTATATGTATCCATACTTCCAAAACTTATTATCTCTTTTTTTATTTTACGGAAATTTATATCCTTAACTGATTATGTACACGTTTATTTTTAAAAGTTATTATACGCAGTAATAAAAATATAATATTAAATGTTTGTTGAGTCAAAACTTTTTATCTACATATTATCAACATAACGGTTTTCATAAAGGTGAAAATATTATATATTAATATTACAGTTGGACACAATTTTAATTTAATAAATGAAAATACTAAATTATATTTGTTTACCAAGTTGTTGTTGATAATATAAATATAATCGTAATGATTTTTTTCAAATATAACCAACTTAAATCGAAAATTTATCATTTACACATTTGAGTCAAAACTAATTATCTGAAATCACTTTTCTTAAATATTTCCACTTGGCTTAAAGTTTTTTATTTTTGAAAAGTTAGAAAAAATAACTTAAATATAGAGCGATTACAAAATCTTGCATGTTATAATTGTAAAAATTTTGGACATTTTAGGCATTTTTTTCTTTTTTTCCCAAAAGTTAAAAAAATGTTGATAGTAAGTTTTGGAAATAGTCTACTCAAATAATGCATTTAATACTTTTAAGTGACGGTTGATTTCCAGCAACATTTTTTTTATATCCTCATTTATACTTGTAAGTTTATTCATTAAATCCAGTAAATTGCTTAATTTTTCAGGATGAGCTTGAAAAGCAGCACAACTATTTATCAAGGACTGAAATGAACAACAAAAATATTTAATATAATTATCATTTGAAATTTTTTACAGATTAAATATGTTAATAGTTCTATGACGCAATACCTGTGGTGTTTGTACTTTCCAAATACTTTCGTCTAAACAGTCTAATTGTAACGACGATGAAAATTTTGACAGTTCATTATTAGCTTGTTCAATTATTTCGGTTATAGATTGAAGTAATTTATTTTTTTCTTCCCTTAAGTTAAAAAAATACAGTTATCACAAATAAATTATGTAAAAAAATGTCGGGCCTCAAAGTCATTATGTTAATTTAGTATTTACATTAACTATTAAGTAAATTAATTATAGAGATAATTCGTTATCCGAGACGGGTTGTTAGTCTGTCATCGGAGATGGAGATGGTGGCTCCTTTTCACAAAACGATTGCTAGCCCAGCAAACGGAGCACCAAGTGTCAAACCAGTGACAGTGAGCACTAACACAGTGCCACCTTACCCACACAGCCACTCCACCTCCTCATATTATTGTGTAATAATAATTTATTATATATAACAAATTATTAGGTTAAAATAAATTATAAAAAAAATGATATATTACGTACGTATACAGATTTGAGGCCTTTTGATATGCAGTTGGTACTAAATCGGCAAACAAAGAAGGACCTGAAATTTCAGGATCGGACACACTAAAACCAATACTTTTGACCAGAGATGCTCCTTTAAGTTTTTCTAAACGTTTGTCTTCTTCTACGGGGGAAGGAACATTTTCATGATAAATCAGTTCGTTTTCAGTTTTTGACGCCTTCCATTTGGCTGCTACCACGTCCATGGTAAATGTCAATGCGTCTTGTACTTGCTACAATTTAAAATCATATACTCAAATAAAATTACCAAAATTCAATATATTTTGAGCAATTTTTAAAAATGATTACTCACTTCGGGTTCATCGAAATGTTTTGATTGATTTACAGCTTCTTCTAATTTATTTAATGCAATTTGATAATAAGAAACCCGAAAACCCATCTGTTGTTGATCTTCAGCGTGTTGTCCTTGAAAATGGGCTGTTACACATTCATAATAAGTTTTTTTGAACATACAATACTTTGACCACATCTAAAACAAAAAAATGTAGGATATGTATGTTTAATAACAGCTGCTGGTTCAAAAGCAACAACTATATGTTTAATAATTAATTATATCACTCTTTACATTAACACAGAACTGGAAAAATTAAAATTAGTAATTTTTTTTATAAATGTCACATTAAAGTTATACAAACAAATAGCTACAATTTACTTACTTTGTATCTTTTCATTCCTACAGATTCTCCAATACTGTCAACTGTGGCAAAATTTACTAATGCATTCATTGCGCCATTATAATACTCCGAAATTTTCGCAGAAACTTTAGCTACAGATAACAATAGAAAAAAAACCATAATTTAACGTTAATTTTTTATCATCAATTATTACATCATTATAACTATATTTTTGTAAGTTGAGATAGTATTAACAATAGAAACATTAATAAATCATAATACCAATAATAAGAGATTTCCGATTGTCCATCATACTTTTTTCAAGTATACATTCTTGAGCCTGAGCCAAACAAAGTTGGTACATGTATTGTAACAAATCAGAAGACAAATCTGGTCTAAAGTTTCCCGGATAATTATCATTTAACTCCTGACCAAATACAAAAATTATTATTTTAGTATCTCATATCTTGAAATAAGGAACATAATATTATTGTTTTCTTACTTGAAACGCCCATGCTGCACATTGAAAATGAGTACATGCCATTTTTAACGCTTCATCATCTGATGTTCTGTCCTGTATAGCACCCAAACGACAATGCAATGCTCCAATATTATATAAAATAGATACCATTTCTAGTGTAATGTCCGACATATTATAAGTTATATTTTGATTGAATAAATGATTCCTAAGACATACAAAAATGTTTTGACTTATAAATTACAGTTTTAATTATGATTAAAAAAAACTTTGTTGTACATAAAAAATATTTTAGCACTTTTTTACTTATATTATTATTACAGATATTTGTCGATTAATCGGGGACTACCACTATGCAATATGTTCTTTATCTGAACTAACACCACAACATTCTATTTTCTCCTTCTTGACATTCTTCTCCTATCGGAGGTTGGAAATCATCTTGGCTATATGGATTTTATCTTGGGCCGCCTTGAATATTTGGTTGTTGTTGCAATCAAACCATCGCGTCAGATTTTGTAACCAATTTGTTCTAGACCTCTCTCTGCTACTTCTACCACATATCTTCCCCTCTAAATTGAGTTGCAAAATTTGGTATTTCTCTCCTCTCATCATGTGCCTAAAATATCGCAACTTTCTAGTTTTGATTGTTCTTTTTATTTTCTTATCTTTCACCAATCTGCTTAGCACTTCCAAATTTGTAACTCGATCTACCCATGATATATTTAAGATGCTTCTATAGCACCACATCTCGAATGCTTTTATCTTCTTCATATCCTTTATAGTCTAGGCCTCCACTCCATATAGTAATGTAGAAAGCCCATAACACTTTCTTGTTTTCTTCACATTCTTGTCTTCAATTCTAGTGATAAATCACGATTTGAGAAAATTGTCCTCATTTTTTGAGGAACATTCTATCGCATTAAAGTAATTTTCAAACTAAAACGTTTATAAAATATATAATACATTTCAGAACTAAAATAACATTATATTATAATTTTTTTATTTAAAAAATAATTAATTAATAATTAGAATAGAAATTAAAATATTTAAATCACTGTTTGAAAACCAGCTTTTATAGTATCATTTCTGATTTATTATAATTTGTTTTTTATTGTTAGATGATTAATTACCATGAAAACACTACAGACGCATTTCCATTCTCAGCCATTGGAAAACGACTCTTTAGTGCGTGTAGTTGACAAAAATATCTTTTTAAAATTGAACATCCTTCAACATTCATTGATGGATCGACTGAAGTTTCTCTTAGTGCCAATAAAGTTGACAAATCATCATTATATTTTGTTGGATCTTGATCGTATATAGTATGTATATGCTAAAAATACAAAAATGTGTTCATATATTATTAAATAACAATATTGTTCTTGTTAACTATCATTTTACAATATGAAGGGATTGGAAAATGTTGAAGGTATTGTTACATCATGTTATATTATTTAAACAATGTTATGTCTTTTGAAAACTTTAAGATACTTTATGCAAGCATTTTATATTTCAAAACTAGGCTAGGCTGTAAATTTACCAAAGTCCATCTATGCTTAAAAGGTAGAAAGTCAACAGAAAAATATTAAAAAGTTTAATGTTTGATGTATTTATTATTATTATTTTTTTTTTTAAATGTTTTACAAAAAAGTACTTTTATCTTTTATGTTATGCTAGCTTTACACTCTCGCTGAGATGATGTAAGGCGAGGGTGTAGTCAGGTGTACTTGGCCTCCTTGCCTCTCTTTGCCGTTGCTCCATGCGATCTAAGTTTTTTTAGAGCAAATCAAAGGACATGAGGCGAAGCAAGAATATAAATTTAGTATTAAAGACAGAATAAGAGGTTACTGGTTGCTGATTTAATTGCTCTGAACTATATAATATTATTATTTTAGGATCAACCATTTTCAGAACAAAGAGAAATATACTTTTGTTCCTGTGTAACTAACATGATAAGATATGAAAATACTTACATGATTAATTTTTGTTGTAAAATCTGGACTCTGCTGACTTATTTTTAGAGGGAAGCTTATCATATATAACCGTGGTACTGCTTCCATTGTATAACTACAAACATGTAAAAATGAACCAATAATAGAGATAAAATAAAATACCTGTAACCTGTTTGCCGAGAGAACATGCTGTGACTCGACAAAGATTAGCCGTTCTGCGTATGCCCTCGTGGCACCCAGTGTGTCTAGCGTTCCCCCTCCCCGAGATCACCCTGCCTGTCAGCCTGTCTTTGGCGGCTGCTTAGTCTTCTGTCTATATGCGCAAACCCGGCATGTTCTCTAAGCGAATAGGGTGTACAAATTGTATGATACTAATAAACGATAAATATCTTTAAACATGGTACCTGTATATGATATCAACTGCACATAAATTTAGTATCTAATAAAGTAGTTAATTTTTATAAATTGGTTATTATTATTGTTCCATGTTCTATGTCATCTGTTGTTACATGTGAACAATATGTGTGTGCATAACAATAAAAATAAAAGCGTGGTAGTAAAAATATTGAACAATTAAATAATTTGTATAAAATAAAGAAAAAATAATAATAAGATAAGAAATGGAACAATTGATTTCATTCAGAACAAAGTTTGGTGTATACCTACAATCCACCACGAAAACAAAAACCCTTATTATTATACTGTTAACACAATACGCAGGTATTACTATAATCCGGAGATGATTCAATGAGCTTTATTACTCTATGATAGGTGTTGAATTCTTCATACCAGATAGCATTGTCGTTATAATGCAATAACTAAAAGATAATTACGCATGAACCGTACAAATGAGTTTTGAAATAAGTGACGAGCAATGTTATAATAAATGTTCAGTTAGGTGCATGAGAAATTTTCAACTGAAGCGAGGTTCATAGACAGAAAATAATGTTGTAACGTTGCAAACCATTGAAAATGCTTGGCCCATAAACCGTGTTCAATAAGAAACCCTCTCGACTTACCCGTTTGTCCGCCACCGCCGTTTTGAAGCACCACAACCGAAATATTACTATTATACCGTCGCACTACTGTAAAACCTCATTTGACACGAAAACCGATGGTTGCCAAAATCGAATTTTCGTGTTTACGTTAAAAACAAGAACAATTACAGACAAACAATTTACTTTTTGTGTAGCTAAAAGCTATTGTATGCAATTGTATTCATCAATCGAGATTGGAGATTTTGTTCTATAATATTCTATACGAGATAACAGATATCAGCTACATTGATAACCGCCCTATCAGTGTAAAGTGTAAACAGTAAACATCCATGTACAAATTAATACCTATAAAATAATCAGCAGTTCCAACGGCTGTATACAGTATAATTATAAATTATTATTACTAGAATACAGAATGTAAATAATGAGTAGGTATTTCGGAACAAATGCAGTTAAATGCATTTATGTCAGTATTTAAATTATTGGTACCAGTCATAAGCCAATACACAACACAAAATATATAATATTATACAAATTAACATTATCTAATAGTTCATTAATTATATTGTATTTAGCTTGTATGCTAAATACATTTTTTACAGTTAACGTCATGATTGAATTCAATTCGTTTCGAGCATGTATTTATTATATTGACAATGGCCTTGTAACATAATGTAAGTGAATAAATAGGTTTATGCATCTTTGTAAATAACCTTAATATGTGGGTACTTAACCAATTTCCTCAATGTATGAATGTTATATGCAGGGGTCAAATGTTAACGCATATACATATTAATAACATACAGTTGAAATACTAAACGTTTCGTTGTAGCTATGAATTTTTAAAATACCTTATAAATTACTAACATTGAGTACATTTTTCTTACCTAGAAAAAAATTCTGCAATTGTTCCCAACTTAAAAGGGATTCTAAAACGGGAACTACTTTTAAATTTAACTAGGCTTTTACTATTATGTATTATGCATAAAGTTGCTTATTTTTAGAATATCAGTAGATTCATGTAACATAGTCATTCACTTTTTCGTTATACTCGCTTTAAGTATATTTATTTTATGTTTTACAGCCAGTGTAACTTGCTACACTATTTGTTATTATAGGTATAATAATACATTGTACACCACATAATTTTGAAATAACCACAAAAAAGACCTTACGACAACTACAGAACGTTTGGTTTCTTATAAAATTACCCAAATTTACAATCTCCACGGTGATAGTTTTCTTTTATTTTTTTAATTGCTACATAAATTCTGACTTTTTTCAAATTCATCAAAAAAAATAGTTTATATAAATCTATTTAAAATACATTTAAGAAAATTATTAAAACGTACACTAATAAAGAATAAAAGTTTATTTTTAAAACTAGAGAATATTGAATAATTAGTTTTTTTCTTGTTAAAAAAAAATTATAATAAAGTAAAATTTTGATGTACACTGTAGTCAACTCAATATTATAATACAAAAGTGCAATTAATAAACTATCACGCTAAAATTTTTTAGTGGACCCCTCACAAGTCCTGAAATATAACCTTTAAATTATTTAGGCAGTTCAATAAAAAAATAATGTTATGAAGAATTTTGTACAAATGATTTAAATATTAGGCATTTGTTATACATAGAAAAATAATTACATTTAATTAATCAACAAGTATAAGTAGGAGTTAACAGACCAGTGTCATTGTCATTAAGTCAATTTGCGGCCTATTGTCATTAGAACAAACTAATAATGATTTTTTTAATTGAATGATTACAAACACAAAGAAATGTAAAACTACGTTTTTCATCCATACAATAATTTACATGTTTTATAATGTGTTGTTTATCATAACTTATGATTCATAAGTAACAAAAACCTTAAGAACTTTTTTTTTAATATACATATTACATAATAATTAAACCATAGGTACAAAACAAAAAAAATAATAATTAGGAATAAGCAAAATATTTATAATAATAATTTTAAAGTTGATACTCTAAGAAGTATACAATTTTTTTTTAAAAACATAATTTTTTTAAAAACACAATTTATTATTGAAGTGAAAAAAAAACGCATATAAATGGAAAAAAATCACAATTTAAATCACACATGAGTACAATAATCGTATAGAATATTATAAAATAAAACTAGATGTGAGTCAAAATGAAACCATGAATTAGTTACAAAAGCAGGCATTGGCACATCTTAAAAATAAATTTAATTTTAAATAAAGCTAATAAAATAATGTCAATCTTATAACATTGTTTCCCTGTATATATCTGTAAATGAAACAACAAGAGCTTTAAGATAGTTGAACTGTTTTTAAAGACATGGATTACACTCGCTTAATTTAACCTTTACTTAATATTTTACTTATGAGAATATAACATATTTTAAACAATTCTGGTAGCTGCTATTTAAATTAATTTTGTAAAACACATTTAAAAAAACGTTTTTAAGTTTAAACATTTAATTTAAGTTAAAAAAACTTTTTTGATTTGATAAAAGAACGTAATGTAAAAAATAAAAAAGACTAAAACATAACACTAATTTTAGTTTAACCAATTGATGAGGAAATTATCAATAACTGAATCGTCTTTGTACCACTCGTGATGAGAAATGCCATCAACTGTAAAAACCAATAATTTTCCTTGTTCATCTAATGTTTTTAAACCAAATGTATCATCTTTGTAAATAAGTCGTTCGGTAACAGCAACAAGTTCGTCGTCCTTGTTTAAAACAGCAAATTGACTAAAGAAAAAGAGCTTTCATGTAAAGATGATATAATATGTTTATTTTTTTATATTTATATGAATAGTTAGTTTACTGTACCTGGACTGCCAAGGAGAAATCACACCATCATCGGGTCCACCAATAAGAATCATTTTTTTTAGTTTTGTTATACCTCTTTTATAATTTTCACTATTGGCTGTGGTCAATTCGTTATTAATAACTGGCAAGTATTTGCTATACTTTAAATAAAGGTCTAAATGATGTGGATCGTACCAATAATTGCCTACACTTATATCCTGACCCATTTTAGAATAAAATAGCTCGTAAGCCGTTTTCAATGTAAGATCTGGAAATAGCCTAAGGAAACATTTTGCTGTAATAAAACAAAAAAAATAAAAAAAGAGACACATTATTTTTACAAACCTAAAAAATGACTACTACTTACTTCCATATTGACCTCCCTGAGGCGAACTTAATGATATAAATGTATGGACATTGTGGTCGGGATATGATTCCAACATGCCTCTAGCGATTATTCCTCCTTGAGAATAACCTGCAAAACCAAATTTACTGGATTACATCACAAGTAAAGCCTATTTAAGTTATAGAAAATGTTTCTAACAACAGCTAAACACGCCAAACTAAAGTAATATTGACATAGTTCTTCTCACCAACACAAATGCGTATGTTTACTGGAGATCTCATCACGTGAATTTTCTCACGTTATTCCCTCCTTCCAAACAATAGACATTGCCATTAACATATTACGACAATTTACAAACCGATTAAGTGTATGCCTTCCGGGTGTTGAGAGCAAATTTGTAATAAATCAGCACCAAGTTCTACGACTTGTTTCCACATGGGTTCGAGGCTAGCCCATCCACAAAATCGATTCAAAACATATGTCTTTGTGCCAGGATGCATCTAAACAAAATTAAAAAAATTTGTTTGAAAAGTAACAATAATAAAATAATACTTTAAAAATTACCAATAAAAACAAAAATTGAATACTTACTTTTTCAATTCGATTAGCGAGAGAAAGCATTGTGACGTCGCCCGTCATCAGTCCATGAACGATGACCACAGGTTTGTACGGAGGCAGTTCGCCATTAGACTTTGCTATGGAATTTTTCTCCATAATTTCAAGTTGAGATCGTATATCAAATTTCCTACGAACACTAAATGGGACTGTTGTATACACTATGAAGACCAGTAATGTAATTCTTTCGTAGCTGAATTTAATACTATAATTTTCAATTGCAACAGGAATGTAAAATATGTATAAAATCAAATACTAATCGACCTTCAATAAGCATTCGATAACGAGTTTACATTGTAAAAATAATCTAACTGCTTAATACGGAAAATAATACCTTATTCGACATGGCCTACGATACAATATTTTATAACATATTTACACTTCACACACAATAATGAATACATACAATGAACAGTTTGTTAAATTAAATATTATAAATTGTATTAATAAACAGTATTTAGTTGTGAACTTGTATTGTTACTACTAACTTCAAACTTGTAAGCAGTAGTGCAACGTGTTATCAGCTGTAGACATCAACATTCAACGTACACAGGTGCCTGATAACAGTGTCACGAATAGTCAAGATAAAAAGAGCAATGTTTTATTTTCGAAAATTCCTATAGTCAACAACCTTTAAAATTAAAGACCTGTTATTTGTTGTTAATTTTAAATGCAATACCTATTTTGTAACTATTTCAGTAACCATTTTGTTCTCGTCAACCTGTTTGATATTTTCTTTAATTTGTTTTGGTATGAAAATGGGTGCTATACTACTATTTTTTTATAAATATAAATATGTAAGGTCCTTATATAAGTTCTGGGGTAAAAAAAAATTGAAGCGCACCCCCAGGTCGGTTTCAAATAATTTCAAAAAATTATTATCAAATTTTTGCCTTTTTCCTTCATCGCCCTATTGGCTATTTCAGCAAGAAATATTCAACCGTCATTAGACTCGTGGCGCTCACCCGATTCCCATTTTAGCCACCACTTGTTCAATTCTTTAAGTCCTCGATACCACGTATACATCATTTATCAACATATTTGGGATTGGTTCTAAAAAAACAATAACACAATTTATAAACTATTGTAGGAATGGCAATTTATTAAACTTATCGGTTCTGATACCTAATTGATAAAGTAAGCTTATGCATCATACGGAATAACCATTACTCGTCTATTTGTGTACATATTTATTCCCGTGTATATATTTTTTATTATTTTAAGTCATAATGTCCATTATTTTTTTTTTATAAATATACCACTTATTAGGGGAAAGATTTGTGATATTTTTTGGAGGTTTCCACGTTTATCTGAAGAATTATGTCTAAAGAATGTTCCATGCAAAATTAGAACTAACTCATCTCTTTTTAAAATAGTTTTATTGTGCCGTAATTTTTAAGTTTACAAATATGTACATTTTTGGGTGATTTTCTCGGTTATGAAGGAGAAGGGGGTAAACTTTTTACATTTTTGACCCAATAGAGTATCTATCCGGTTCGATTTTGGGTCTATGAAGAAATCGGTTCAGCGGTTTGAATTGATTCGCAGTATTTTTACCAAAAAACCGAAAATCCCTTTTTCGAAGGCCCTTTTCACGACAGTTGTTTTCGAAATAAAATAAAAAAAATCTGAAAAATATTTATATAGAATTGCATAAAACAGCATATTGTGCGATGGTTTTTTTTAGAAATTCACTCCTGCTGTCAAAATCAAAACGAAAAAATAGCAACGCTATTGTTAAAACGCGATATGAAATTTCTTGAATCCAGCGCAAGAACATAATATTATCCATGTTAATAAGATATTAATACATGTTAAATGAGGCTGTGTTTAATGTTTATAGAATTGGGTCAGGTACATTAATTCAGACCCGCATCAAATGTCTTTTCCCAATTTCGGTCAATTCTCCTTATTATATTCGCCAAACGACATACTAATAGTTTTAGTAATATAAAAATAAAAATATTGTGCTTTTGACTTAGGTAAACTAATTATTAATGTTATAATTATGACGGTCAGTTTTATTAAATATGTATCTAACTGTATCAAGATCCAAAATATAAAATACTTGGTACCTACTTTTGATTATTTTGACTAATTTGTAACCCGAAAAAAAAAATATGGAATTCATTATATGTTTGGTAGATACCTAAAAATATTGAAATGTAGGTAAAATAATTATAAATCGATATTTTTATGTTTACACTTCAAACTTTTATAAGTAAGATTTATAGGGCGTAGTGTGATAGCGTTCAATAATATGTGTAAGTCGTAGGTACCGGTTATAACAGCTGGCCCATTATTGTTTTTGGAGAAATAAAACAAACATAAAAATAATGTCGTAATCGTATGATATTCAATATCTAAGAGTATTTTCTTCAGATTTTATACGAAAATTGTTCTGAGTGTGCACACGTTATGCAGAGCGTTTTTTAACAAATAAAAATCTAATAGGCATTCAAACGAAATAAAAACAATATCGAGTGGTATTTACTACTTTTGCTGTAGCCTAAAGAATGTTTTGTGATTTTGATGTATTCATTTTGTTCGTGCTAGTGCGTTTAGAGTACTTCCAGTGACCAGTGTGGTTTACTATGTCACGGGTTATAGTGCTAGGCGTTATAGTGATGTCATTCCTGCATTGTTTTAACATTGTTTCCAATAAAGCAGACTCACTAGTGGGCGGCCGCAAGGAAGGCTTACTAAACGAATATTACTTCTCGAAAAATATCGACGGAGGACACGACGAACCAACCGAGTCCGATTCGATTACGGCACTGAGCGAGGAACAGTTGGTAAATCTAAACCGTATGATTTGTTCAAATATTAGATGCAAGTACATGTACTTCGCAATGTCGCACGTTTATTTTTGTAAATCGCTGTCGGCCGACAATCGTGTCATTCTGGCAACGTACTCGACATCGTTGCGGTTTCACCGATGGGCTACACAAATGTTAGTGACCATGTACAACGTGCCGAGACTGAGGTCCACCGTGTCCGTTATGTGGATATTCTATTTGTACACTCATAGGGTAGAAACGAGCTTAGCAAGTGAGGAAATTGTCGGCAAAGATACCAACACCGTCGTAGACGCGGATTTCCACGACGAAATGCTGAACGTGTTTGTTGCCAAGATGCAAATCGATTGTCCGGCGATGCACGGGGAATTCGAATCGTACATCAGCGGGCAAACCATTTCGACACCGTCCAAGATGTTGTTGCACAACTGCATTGCGGCGTTCGGACAATTGAAATCCAACATTGCCAACGGTATGACCGAAAAAGGTATGGAATTCTTCGGGATGGACCGTCTGTATTTGAACAACGTTGCGGACAATCTCGAGACCATGGATACGCTGACGACGAAATTCGGACTGATGACCACCGACGGACATGAGTTCAGTTCATATCTGGTGTCTACGTTTAAAGTGGTTAAAGATCCCAAATCGACGTTACAACAACAGGCAAGTTCGTTGTATGCCGTTCACTTTAATTTCATAGCCATGTTAAAAATCATGATGTTGCGGATACATCTGAAACATTTGGCGTATCTCAAAGACTTGGAAGACAGCGAAATGCAATCTGCGTTCAACACGAAACTGTATGCTAGACTCGAGGAATTCGTATGTCTATTGCACTTAAAGGAAGACGACGAAATCAAATTGTACTTCGACCAGCAGCGGGCTAACGATGAAATCGATGAAGATTTACTCGACGGTGCGGTGTCTTCGGGAAGTGCTTTGCTAAGAAAACTCTGCAACTCGTTAGATATTGAAATCCGCTGTTGGGAGACCGCTTCGATCAAACTAACGACTCCGGGACTTCGAAGGATCTCTGCCGAATACCAGCTAAACATGCCGATTGAGATCAGCAACCATTTGGTCCAAAAAAGTGTTCTGTGCGCTGATGTGTTTGTCAAATACGTTGGTAAAATATTGTCCGGAATTAATTTCGAGGTCATCAATTCTTTTATGGCAACACAATTTTTTTAAATAACTCTTACACAAAACGCATCGATGATTGGATGATTCAATTTAATTAATTGGCCTGCAATTATTTTTTATGTAGATAGGCGTAGGTAGGTAGGTAGGTATTTTAATATAAAAAGGGTAATAGTACTAACGACTATTTTAAGTTGAAGAAAAGGCGTTAACATTTTAAACTAATCTCGACTTTATCGGTAGGGCTTAAATTAATTCTGGGATCTTAACTTTGCTCGGTAAATCTATAATAATATAATATTAAGAATTTATAAATAATAGTACAATGTTGACGTATCATATTATAATACTTATAATATGATAATACTGATTCATGGCCGTATTAAAACGAACTGTGATTTAAGGAATACAAAATGATTTGATACCTGAAGACTGTAGAGTGTAAACGGCAAGATTTTTATTTATCATTTGATTACCTATGTTACAGAAAATCATTTTATAATATTTCAGTAGCCTTATTAAAGTATTACTTATATAGGTACACAAATCTGTATACTTAAAATTTTTAATTTTTCAGCAATTATGACTTATAGGTCTTATGTTATATGTACAGTTTAAATAATAACACGCTAGACTTGCAAAAATACAGCATAAATATATAAAAGTGTATTTTTGTATTACACGAGAATTTTTGTTGTATTATTATAAAATATATCTCCTCCTAAGATTATTAACTTAAACATAAAATTTTTCACTTATGATGCCTAAGAATTTTATTCGATAAAAATGTATATTTCAAATAATGTGTATTATACATAGTAATCTATTTTTACAATGTAATTACTAAGTTGAATAAATGACCATTTATCAAACCTATAAATGTAATTTATAAATTGAAAATATTATAGAGGTATTGTTAATAAAAGCACATAGGAATCATCATTAATGTGCATGAAAAATTGTTAAAAATATGATACCATTTTTGCCTTAGTAAAAGTCGTAAAACTCTAGTTTATTATTTATTTAATATTAATAAATTTTTAGCATTATTATACTTTTTTATATTCCATAAGAGAGAGATATATCATATCTTTTTAACTTTATAGGTTGTAGGTATATGATGATGAAACAAATATTCATGGAAATAATAATGGAATTTCTACAAAAAATTTAGAACTGTTGTGTTAAATGTATTTTTTTAGAACAATTTAATAATTAACTACTTTTGTTTTTTTTTATTCAAACGTAGTTTCCAGAGATTAAAGTGTGTTTAATAAAGTGAACGGTTTTTACGAGCCATGTTATTTATTTGTAATAATTACTAAAAATAAATATCATCGTTTGAAAACATTTTTTCTTTTTAAGAGGACGTCACACACCTGTTATTTTCTTTAAAAAACTCGCCTTGCGTGGATTAATTTTACAAAAGTTTTAATCAAAACTAAGAAACCAAATTTTTTCATAATATAGACAACAACATTGTCTGTGTTCTACCATCGCCCTTTTTTTAATATTTCAACCAGTTAATGAATAATTAATTAATTAAGAAAGGACTTTTATAAAAATGATAAAGCGTTGGTTCTATTGGGTATATCGAAAAAATACGGATGATGCAACACAGATAATTTTGTTATAAATAATATGTATGAATTTCTTTCCTACATATGACGTCTGAGAAAAATAAATCCTTACAAAGGAGTTTCGATGGCAAAAAAATTGTATTTTATCCTATAGAAATGACTGTGATGGCTGACAAAAAAAAAATGGCAATCAACAAAGTATCCTCAATACTGTATCAATAAGTATACATTATAGTTCAAACTCTAAATTAGGATTTTTCGAAAAATTGCCTATACTTTACTCCCTAAAAATGGCCAGTGTGGCGTCCTCTTAAGAAATTATTTGGTATTTTTCAAAGGCATGAGATACAAAAACATGAACATGAGAGTAATTTTAACGCTAATCAAATACAAGTAAAAATTTAATAGCGTGTAGATAAAAAAAAATTGCAAATTTGATTAAAAAATTACATAGCGTGCTACGTTAGTAAAAAAATTATAATCTTTTTATGCACAGCTCAAAAATGTCTTGGTTTTTCATTACGTTATATCATATTACCATTAAAATCGGGCCATGCTACTTATTTGACTAACAGCCAATTGTATAAACATGACACAGGACAAAATATATTTACATAAAAATGAAATTTCCTAGTAGG